TAGCTGAACGAATTCGATCGAGAAATTCTGATAAGCTGAATGAACGCACCACCAGAACATGCAAGCTGATCATTACCCTCAAAATATATATATAATCTCAAATTGCCTTTCAGTACAATCTGTTACGCAATAATCAAATTGGAAATGTTGTCCCAGTTCAATGAGACTAGAAAATTATTTTTCTATTATTGTTAAACGCTTCGTTTTAAGGCAAAAAAATCCATTTAAATTTCAAACCTCGGATCGATTTTAAGCAAAAAAAAAGCAGGGTTGCCACAAAAAAATAATTTTTCCCCCTGACTTTTCCCTGATTTCCAGACAAACTTTTGACTTTCTTCCTGACCCTAAAGAATATTCTGATTCACTATATAAAAATAATTACATACTCAAATAAAATGTTCTATTATATTTATTTACGAATTTCTCTAATTGGTAAATTTTTCGAAAACATCAATAGTTTTATTTAAAATAAATATTAAATCATTATTATTTTTCCATAGGAATTAAGATTTTCAAAAATTTCGAATTTAAACCTTTTCAAAAATTCGTCGAAAGAATTTAATGATTTAAAAATTTATTGATAAAATTGTTTATCAGAATTATATTTTAAGAAAAATTCAATTACTTATTCAATAAATTATTTATTTTTGTATTTAATTGATTGTAAAATAAAAAATAAATAATTTAATTTTCGTAGAATTTTTTGATAAATATTGATTAAAAAATGGATTTCAGTTAAAATTTTAGATAATAATTGAACATTAAAAGCATTTCTGCGTAAAATTCTACGAAAACATTTAATTATTTTCATAAATAATAAAAATATCACAGGAATTCAATTATTTACAAAGAATTCAATTATTTTCAAATTTGTTAGAAATTTCTTCCTAATAATTTCATTATTTTTATATAAACTATACAAGTTTTTACAGAGATTCAATTATTTTCGTAAATTATAATTTTTTTTTTTTTTTTTTTAATTCAATTATTTTCAGAAATAATAATAACTCATAGCAGAATTTCAATTATTTTTAATTCAATTTTAATCGAATTCCTCGAAAAATGTAATTATTCATAAAATTTTTATTAAAATTCGTCAAAATAATTCAATTATTTAAAAGTTTAATGATAAAATTCTTTATGAGAATTCTATTTTAAAAAACATTCAATTATTCAATAAATTATTTATTTTTTTAATATTGATTTGAATTTATCACTCGGTGGCATTTAATAATATTGATGAATTTATCGATCACTCCGAGTCATTCAGAATGACTCGGAGTGAATGACTCGGAGTGATCGATAAATTCATCAATATTATTTATTTTTTTATTTAATTGATTGTAAAATAAATAAATAATTGAATTCTCGTATAATTTTCTGATAAATATTGATTAAATTGATTTCTTCATGTTTTAATACAATAATTAAAGACGACCGAGTGATAAAATCATTATCAATTCAATTATTATTTTTAAGAATTTTTAACTAAAATTCTTCTGTTAATCGATTATTCTTAATACTTTTCGAAAAAGTTATTTGACAATTTTCAAATCCAATTGTTTATTCGTAAATTCTTCAATTAAATAGGGGAATGTAGTCAAGGTTGGCCTACTGTCTAGGTAGGCCACTCGCGTTTTTTTGTCAAGTTCACTAGCGCCACCTACGCGCATTTTTGTCGAAGCTTGTCTTAGTGAAACCTAACTTTTTGTTCAATTACATTTTCGGAAAATCGAAAATTGTGTTTTCTGTGACGTCGGTACAAAAAAAGCTCAAAAAAAGTTTTGTGCATAATGTGAAAAACCATTAATAAAAGATAAAAAACAAATTGAATCCTCAAGGCAAGTATGCAGAAAATTTGTGGGACTCATGGTTGAAAGGAAAACAAAGTAAAAATCGAATCCCGAAACGTATTTCTTTATGGTTACAACAATTCGGTAATGTTACTTACTGTCAAGGTCGGCCACTATGTGTTTAAAATGCGCAAAGTTGAGGACGAGCTACTTCATTTGCAAAAACTGCAATTCTGTATAACTCATAATATAATTGATCATCTTATTAATATTTTTATTTAATTTTATTAATATTTTAGTTCAAAACTTTTTTTTATTTATATTTATTTTTTTATATTGTTTATTGTTATTATTTTGTTATTTCATTAAGTTACAAACTGTAAACAATAAAGAATCAATTTTCCGTAACTCCAAACATGTTATTTTATTTTTTAACGATTAATGCCCTTTGAATTTTAAACATGGCCGACCTTGACTGTAATGGCCAACCTGGACTACAAATTTTTTTTTTTTTAAATCTTTATAACTTTTTCATTTTTAAACCTGTCAATTTACTTTGTACAGAAAAAATGTTCCTATTAAACAGGACTTTCCAACCATATACTTCAATTGTCCAAATTCATTTTTAAAAAAAAGTTATAAACAAAAGTCAAAAAGGTGGCCGACCTAGACTATGTTCCCCTAAATATTAGAAAATAAAAACTTAAAATAATATAAAAAATATTCAATTTTAACTTTTTCAAAAAAATTAATTTCATAATTCAATTATTTCTCAAAATTCACGTTATATTGCTTTTAATATTCAAATATTATCTAAAATTTTAACTGAAATTTACTTTTAAATCAATTTTTTGTAGAAAATTCTATGAGAATTATATTATTTAAAAAAACAATAAATAGAAATTGAATAATTGAATGTTTTTTTTTATAATTCAATTCTTATAAAGAATTTTTTCAACAATTTAGAGCAATTCTTTTTCAAATAATTGAATTTCCAGTGGAATTTTTATTATTTATGAAAATAATTGAATGTTTGCGTAAATATTACAAAATTTTTTTTAAATAATTGAATTTATTTGTAAAATTTTATTAAAATAGTAAATATTTAAATTATTAATAAAAACGACACATTCGGACAACAATGTTACTTTTTATTTTTTAAAAAATTTAAAATCCTTGAATTGAGAAATATTTTTGAAAATAATTGAAATTTTGTCAAGAACATTAATAAAATTTTTGAAAATAATTGGAATTTTTGTGAAGAATTTTGCTATTTATAAAGATAATTAAAAAATTTGACGTGAATTAAAAAAAAATTCCTGAAAATAATTGAAATTCTACGAAGAATTTTCTTACTTTTCGAAAATAATTGAATACTTTCGATAAATTTTAATAAAATTTTTAAGAATAATTACAATTTTCGAAGAATTCAATTAAAATTGTATTAAAAATAATTGAATTTCCGCGATGAATTTTATTACTTTTAAAATAATTTGAATTCTTGTGGTCAATATTGTTATTTAAGAAAATAATAGAATTTTTTCAAAAGTTCCTAGAGAATTTTCAAATTACAAATTACAATTCAATTTTACGTGAAATTTCGATTATTCGGAAATTATTCAATTAAATATTTAAGCAATAAAAACTTGAAATAATTTTTTTAATAAATTCAATTAAACTTTTTCAAAATTCAATTATTTCTAAAAAATTTAAGCTATACTGCTTTTAATGTTCAATTATTATGTAAAATTTTAACTGAAATTCATTTTTAAATCAATTTTTATTAGAATATTCTACGGGAATTCAATTATTTAAATACAAAAATAAATATTTTATTAAATAATTGAATGTTTCTTAAAATTGAATTCTGAAATTTAATTAGTTAATTAATTTAATTTATCAACAAATTTTTAAATATGTAATTGAATTTTTTTCGACGAATTTTAATAAAATTTTAAGAATAATTACATTTTTCGAGGAATTCAGTTAAAATTATATTAAAAATTATTGAAATTCTATGATTTTTATTATTTATGAAAAATAATTGAATCTCTTTGAAATCTTTTGTGTTTTATGAAAATAATTAAATTATTGCGAAGAACTTTATAAAAACTTTGTAAATAGTTGAATTTCTGTGAAATTTTTATTATTTATAAAAATAATTTAATGTTTGCTTGGAATTTTGTAAACAAAAAAAAACAGACACCGAAATTCAGAATTTTCTTACGAATTCTAAAAATTTAATTTTTCCATTACTTTTAACAAAAATCCCTGACTTTTCCCTAAATTCCCTGACCTGTGGCAACCCTGAAAAAGTTGCTTTAAATTAAAAATACAAAAATGCTATTAAAAAAATTCACTCACCGATTCAGGAATTCTCATCACATATTCCAATTCACATTTTGAAACGTCGTTCAATTTTCCAACCATCCTCTTTTTCCTGTTCTTCAAACAGTCTGAAAAAAATAAAATAAAAAAAAATTAGAATATTTAAAAATAAATGTTAAAATTTCTCATGCAAATCGGTTTTCTACCCTTAAAAAAAATTTTATTTTAAACGTAAATAAAATAAAATGTTCTATATTTAGTGTCAAGAGAAAGTCATGTCAGTGGCAAAAGAAAAATTTTAATCAGGCAACACTTAAAATTCAAATGGCGACTGAAAATTTTACACGCATACACATTTATAAAAATAACAAAAAGAGCAAAAAAAAAAAAAAAGAAATTTAAAGTCGCTTTTTTAATTATAAAACATAAAATTTTTCCAACGTTAAAAAAATCTGTGTGTTTTCTTTTTCTAAAAAAGAAGCGCATTTCATAATTTATCGAATAATTTAAAGCTCCTTCAACAACTTGGTCCTAAAAGACATTGATGTTCGTTTATAGCTTCACTGAAGATAACTACTCGGGTAAAGAATTTTCCAAGTCTCTTGTACTCTTCAATGCTAAGACTCAAAAGTGGGACACCTAGTATAAAGAAGTGTTGGATGAATAATATTTTACGTTGCGGAAAATATAAATTCTGCGGAGATATCGCAGGAATTTTTTTGAGAAAAAAAAAAGAAACCATTATACACTTCAATTAATATTCGAAATATAAATGAAAATTACAATATGTTTGCAAAAAATACATAATAAAATAAACATTGAAATTTTTTCAATTTGGTCGACGGAAAAATAATTAAAAATTTGTTTTCATTTTTCCAGGGAGGGTAGAATGTCAGAAGAGCAACCACAGTACAAATTAATATATTTCAATGCAAGAGGAAGGGCGGAACATATTCGTTATATATTCGCCTACGCTGGCATCGATTATATCGATGAACGAATTCCAAAAGAACGTTGGCCGGAAAATAAAAGAAGTGCGTATGATCTGTTTTCATTTATAAATAACTTCAAAACAATGAAATAACTACTAATTCAAAATAACTACTAAAATATTGAAAAAAAAATTAAATATTAAACTTCATCTCGGATTCAATTAATTTAAATAATTTTCTAAAAGTTCTTCTAGAATTCAATTATTTAAATACAAAAATTCAATTTTTTTTTATAAAACAATTCTAATAATTAGTTTTTAAAAATATTTTAATGTAATTTTTCGAAAATAATTGAATTTCTTAAAAGAATTTTTGTATAATTTAAAAAAACTAATTAATTTTTTGATGAATTTTAATTAAAAATTTTAAACATGATTTTTCATCAAAATTTTTGATATTTCAATTATTTTCAATTAAATTTTACAAAATTTCAACTATTCAAATAAAATTGTATTATAGATATATTTGAAAAATGATTCAAAAACAATTTTTGAAAGATTTGTTTATAGTTATTTTTCGCATTATAAGAATAAAAAAATTGCACTTTTTAACTAAAAATTGTTGTATTTTGTTGCAATGTTTGGAAGAAAAGTCGGACAAGTCGCAATTTTTGAAAATAAGTCGAAAAAAGTCTCAATTTTTTTTAATTTCCCTGGCAAAAATTTTTTTCCTGACATTTCCCTGACTTTACTGACAAAAAATTAGTTTCCCTGACATTTCCCTGACTTTACTGACAAAAATTTTGTTTTCCTAACATTTCCCTGACTTTACTGACTTTAATGACATGTGGCCATCCTGTATTTATGATAGAAGTAAAAAATATATTAAAATATTTGTAATATTGTTTTTTAAAAACGTTTTAATTTATTTAAATAAATTTATTAAATTTAAACCTTTTGAAATTCAATAACTTTTAAGAATATTATTATAAAACATGAAGATATCGATCACTCCGAGTCTTCGACTCTGAGTAATCGCTTTCTTTATGTTTTATAATAATTTAAATTTTGTATAAAATTTAAAAAAGAAAATTAAATTATTTACAAAAATTTTAATAAAATCTCAAAAGAATTCAATTATTTTCCTAAATAATAAAATTCTTCACAGGATTTCAATTATTTTTTTTAATACCTACAATTTTAAGTAAATTCTTCGAAAAATGTAATTAATTTAAATAATTTTTATTAAAATTCTTCGAAAGAAGTAAATGAACAATCATCAATTATTTTAAATTTTTTATCTGAAATTTTATTAAAAATAATTAAAATTCTATGATGACTTTTATTATTCATGAAAATAATTGAATCTTTGTAAAAAAAAAATTTATTATTTATGAAAATATTTGGATTATTACGAAAAAATTTATAAAAAATTTGTAAATAGTTGAATTTCTGTGAAATGTTTATTATTTATATAAAATAATTTAATTTTGAAGAAGAATTTTATTATTTTTAAAAATGATTGAAATTTTAACTAATTTTTTTTTTTTGAATTTTTGAACAAAATTGAATTTTTGCAAACATTTATAACTCCTCTAAAATACAATTTTTTTTAGTGTTTTTAACTAAAATTGTTCTAGACTATAAATCCATATGATTTTTAATAATTAATTAAATATGTATTAAAAAATAAAATAAAACTAATTATAAATCCTGCAAATTTAATTTTCTCCAGTACTTTGATAAAAATCTCTGACTTTTCCCTGATTTCCCAGACCATTTCTACTTTTTCTGACTTTTTCCTGAATTCCCTGACCTGTGGCAACCTTGATTTCTCTTATGAATTATTCATATTTTTTTTTATTTATTTAATTCGATAATTTTAATTCCAAATTGAATTTAGTAATTCCTTATGGAATGCGTACGATTTGTTTTCATTTAAAACCACTTTTTTCAATAGAATAAAATTCAAAACTAACATATTTTGAAAAAATCCAAATATTACAATTATTATAGTAATAAATGTTATAATTACTAAAAATATCTTTTTTTTTCTTCAAAAACGAGCGAATTTTGATTTGATAATTTTAATTCCGAATTGAATTTAGCAATGCCTTATGGAATGCTACCAGTATTACAAATTGACGGAAAATTGATAGCTCAAAGCAATGCCGTTGCCCGTTATTTGGCACGTAAACATGGTCTTAATGGAAAAGACGAGTGGGAAGCTATGTTATGCGATGTTCTTGTTGACACCCTCGGGGATCTTAAACATGGTATGTATATGAGAATAGTTATTTTCGTAACAAGGGCGCAAAATAGGTGATTGCGACGATGGCGAAATGAAGGGACCGAGGGGACACAATTTCGCGCCCGAGGCGAAGCCGAGGGAGCGAAAGTGTCCCCGAGGTCCCGAAATTTCGCCAAAGTCGTAATCACCTTTGCGCCCATGATGCGAACATAATTTTTTGTCCTAACTGCATGGAAAGTATGGCATTGAGGGCACGCACGATTAAACTCTCATAGTAGTTAAAAATTAAGCTTTATATAAACATTATATTGAATGAAGTCTCTAATGATAGAAGTTTTAAAATAGAAATAAAAAACAATGTATTCTGGAAACATAGTATTTATTTAGAACGTAGTAATTAATAATTAAACAAAACTGAAACAGGAACTTTTAAAATTGACAATTTTGATAAACGAAATGGGAACAAAACCAAATATCTCATTATTTTTTTTAGAGAAAATAAAAAAAAATTGCAAATTTTTATAGACAAAATAAAACAAGTTGAAAATGTTTGCAGTTTTATAGTCAACATAAAAAGAAAGTCGAAAATGTCGCATTTTAATGAAGAAAATCAAATAATTAACAAGCGGGCGCAAAATACTTTTCAGCCCGCTTCTCCCACTCCCGGGCGTAATGTGTTACTTTGCGCCCGCCTTAAGTGCCCGAAATGACATACTTTCCGTGCAGGTAGGACAAAAAATATTTTTTTCTCTTCTTTTTATATTCCACCCCCATAAACATTCACTTTTCATATTATTTTTATTACTTAAAAGAATTCAAAAACCAGCAATATAAATTTATTTTCTAACTTTATTCATATAAATCTTTCTTTACTAATTTTATAAATACTCTCTAAATTTAAAACAGTAAAAATGTTTACTTTAAATTAATGAGCAACTTTATGCCAAAGTAACATAATTTACTCAAATTTATAAGTACTCATTAATAGCATTCATGTAATTTTACTTTCAGAATTATTTCAATACAGAACAGAAGAAGATATGTTTAAAAAAGAAGATAAAAAAATAAAGCTAATGAAGGAAACCATTCCATTTTATTTGAATAAATTCGAACAAACAATTGCTGAAAATGGTGGCTACGCTGTTGGCTCAAATGTACGAATAAAATTCTTTAATTACTAAACTCATCTAAATTTTTCTTTTAAAATATTATTATATTATTGATTAATATTTACTTTTTGTCAAGTTTTTGATTTATATTTAATTAATAATTATCTATTTTATAGACAACATGGGCAGATTTTGTATTCGCAGTAGCATTGGAAAATTTTGAGCAAATTTTTGGAAGCAACGCCCTAGAGAATTATCCGGCCCTTCGCTCATTAAAACAACGTGTTCACGAAATACCTGAAATCGTGACCTGGTTAGCGAAAAGACCACAAACTGAATTCTAAAAATCTTGTTAAATTCAAGAAAGTCCATCACTCTCAAATTTTCAAGTTCAAATTTCATCGATGAAGAAAATTTTCGATTAACTGTTACAAATAATATAAAATTAATACAAAAAAAAGAAAAAAAAACAATATATGCATATCTGTGAGCACATGCAGACGATTTTAACTGGATTGGCGTGAGTCTTGTTAAAAAAAAAAAGAAAAAAAAAGGATCGATTTCAGAAACGAATAATGCGACCCGCATCGAATTGCAAAATAAAAAACGCTATTTATATAAATAAAAAAAATTGTTATTTAAAGAAAAAATTTAATTAAAAAAAACAACTAAAGTATCTATCCTTTTCTTTTAACATTCGACATTCGCAAATCCTCTGAAAAATTATCATTTCAGTCAATATTTCATAGACAATAAGAGACGATCTATTTATTTAAAAGAAATAAATATAAATAATATATATTTGAAAAGAATACTGTAAAGTAATTTCAAAAAATGCAATGTGTATTTAAAAAAAAAACTGTTTCACATTAAATATTTTAATAATCGAATGTTTCAAAATATTATAAAGAAAAAAAAAGATGTGTAGAATATATCTATTGTATCTAAATGATTTGTTTATTATACACTGGAAAAAAATTTGGTTCATTCAAATAAACGACTATTTGTCTATTATCATATAATTGTTGATCAAATAAATTTTGAATCAAATAATTTTTGATCAAATAAATTTTAAGTCAAATAATTTTTGATCAAATAAATTTTGATCAAATAAATTTTGAATCAAATAATTTTTGATCAAATAAATTTTGAATCATATAATTTTTTATCAAAAAATTTTGATTCAAATAATTTATAAGTCAATTGAATGGTATTTGCTTCAAATACTGAAACTATTGAGTCAAATACAATTTATTTGATTCAAGTAAATATTTATTTGGTAAAGTAATCGATTATTTGAATCAAATAAATATTTTTTCACTGTATTGAAAATTACAGAAATCAGAGATTTATTTTTCCGATTGTTAGATTCCATAATTTTATAAAATATCAATTAATAATAACATTTATATAGAAAATAAAAATGAAGCGAAAGTATTTTCAAAATAAAAATCTTACTAAGTCGGTTCTAATGAGAAAACTAGGTCATCAAATTATTATTAATTTTCAATTATGTACTTAAACTAAATCAAGATTATAATATACAAATTTGGATGTATGAAAGATACTCACTGGTTGTGACAGGTCAACAAGTGAATGCAAATTATCATTTTAATTAGATAATTATTTTCCCTATACTTTTAATTTTATATACACAAAAACCATCCAAATTTTGTATTTTTATTATTTTCTTTCCATAAATTTTATCTTTATTTATAATTCAAAATATAATTATGTAATTTTAAATTGAATTTTAAATGTAATTTTATTGAAACGATAATCAATTAAAGAAATTGTATTTTAATAATTATAATATCAATTTTTGAAAATTGTGATATATTTATCTTTTTGCAATAAAATTTTAACGAACGGAGTAAAAACCAAAAAAAAAAACACACACACCTATAATAACCCATCAACAAAAATATAAAAAAAAAATAGTACTGTATTTTGTTTTGTGAGGATCTACGAAAATCTTGTGTCTTTATAAATAGAAAAAATTAGAAGGGGTTTAATTATAAAAAAGACTCTAATAAAGTTTAAAAAAAAAAGACAAAAAGATTAACTATGGTTAAATGTATAGATGTTATCAGTGTAATGTTGTCATATATAAAAGTTGAATCGATGAAATAGTGTAAGTTTCTATAATGGAAAGTCTAACAGAAAATTTAAAAAAAAATTACATTTACAAATTTACTTGTAAAAATTAATTTTGTAATTAATTATATGTCAAAAGAAAATAATTTTCTTAAAGACAATCCAACATTCATTTCAATAATTCAACTTATATAATATTTATATAAATATGCTAAATTAAAAAAAGAAAAAAAAACAGTGGTACAAAAAAAAGGTACTGATTATTCAAAAGAAAACTATATAAATTTTTCATTTTTGCGATTTTTCTTTTCATAATTTAAAAATAAGAGAAAAATGTAAAAAAAAATTATTACATAATAATAAAGAAGAAAAATATCACAAAAAAAGAAAAAAAGAATCACAAAAAAGAAAGATAAAAATTATTCTCTAATTAACGACAGATAATGTCAAGTGATTAATAAGTCATTTTATTATTTAACCCTTTTTATACGAAAAAAAAAAATTGTCAATAAATTAAAGATAGTTGATAATTAAAAGAATGTTTCCTTTAAATGTAAAAATCATTTTCAAAATAACATTAGTTTTGTGTTTTGTAAAAAATAAATTATAGATATATAAAAAAAAATCACACAAAATATATAAAAAATAGTTAATGAAAAAAATATAATATATATATTTGAAAAAGGCATCTGAAATATATACCTATGTGCTTCATAAATTCATAAACAAGGAAATTTTAATTTTTTTTTCTCGAGAAAAATAATATACATTATCTCGATAAAGAGAAGTGTTCAATGCTTGTTGCATTATCAGTGTGCTGTATGCGAAATAGTTAGAGATTATAATTAAAAATGTGTGATTGCTAAATAATAATAATTAAAAAAGAAAAAAAAAGAAATTGATATATTAGTGACGATACTACTGTCAAATGTATAGAAATACACAAATTATTTACGAATTACGCTTAATAAATTTTCATTTAATTTTTATTTTTACTTTATTTATTATTACTTTAATTTATTACTTTAATTTATTACTTTAATTTTTTAAATACTTTTTGTAATTTTCATTTTATCATAATTTATTTCTTTTTTAATTTTTGCTTCTATTTTAATTTTTATTTAATTCTATTTTTAAAAAATAAAAATAGTTATTTATTTTTATTAAAATTTTTCAAAATGTTCCGTAATAGTTATTTTTTTATGTTTGTGTATAAATTTTTGTTTTAATTGTACATGCAATGCAAAGTATAAAAATAAAGATAATATAAATATAAAATAATATATACAATACAGAAGGCAAAATGTTTGTTATAGAAATATATTAAATATTTTCTTGTGGAGAAAATAAAAGATTAATAAAAAAGATGAGAAAAATTATTTTATTTCCCCGCATTGATAATAATAAATCACAATGAGAAAATAATTGACTCACCGATCACGAATTCGTATTTCCGTTGTGTAAATAATGGCAATATTTCATCTCTCTGAACCTCCAGTCGTTTTTGTATTTAGAAAATTATTTCCTCTATTTTCCTCAAAATGTTTTCGAACTGCCTGAAACAAAAATTGTTACAAAAATTATTTAATTTTAGAGAAATTACAATAATAGTAATTTTTGGACATAATTGAATTTTGAAAAGGTTACAAATATAAATCTTTGGAAAATCAGAATTTTTCATACTTTTAATTAATAATTCTGTAGAACTCATTTTTTTGAAAAATTTTAATTTTAATTATGTTATGAATATAAAAATTATAATATGAAAATATTATTCCTAGAAATCCAATTATTTTTATAAATAACAATATTCATCACAAAAAATCAATTATTTTCAAAAGTAATAAAATTCTTCGCTAAAATTCAATTATTTTCAGAAATTTTAATGAAATTCTTTTCAAGATTTCAATTATCTTTATAAATAGCAAAAATTCTTTGCCGAAATTCAATTATTTTCAAAAATTTTAATAAAATTCTTGACAAAAATTCAATTATTTTTAATACAATTTTAATTGAATTCTTCGACAATTGTAATTATTCTTAAAAATTTTATTAAAATTCATGGAACGTATTCAATTATTTTCGAAAAGTAAGAAATTTCTTCGTAGAATTTCAATTATTTTTAGAAATTTTTTTTCAATTCACTTCAATTTTTTAATTATATTTATAAATAACAAAATTCTTCACAAAAATTCAATTATTTACAAAAATTTTATTAAAGTTCTTGAAAAAATTTCAAAAATTTTCAAAAATATTTCTTTACTTTAGAATTTTAAATATTTACTATTTTAATAAAATTTCCCAAATAAATTCAATTATTTTCATAAATAATAAAAATTTTACTAGAAATTCAATTATTTGAAAAAGAATTGGCATAAATTGGTGAAAAAATTCTTTATAAGAATTGGATTTTAAAAAATATCCAATTATTTAATTTTTACTTATTTTCTTTTTAAATAATATAATTCTCATAAAATTTTGCACAAAAAATTGATTTCAAAATAAATTTCAGTTAAAATTGTAGATAATTAAATAATAAAAGCAATATAGCGTAAATTTTTAGAAATAATTAAATTTTGAAAATAATTTTTTTTGAAAAAGTTTATTTGAATTTTTTTGATATTATTTTAAGTTTTTATTTTCTAATATTTATTTAATTGAAGAATTTACGAATAATTAAAATTTCGTAAAATTGAATATTGTAAACAAATGAATTTGAAAATTGTCAAAGAACTTTTTCGAAAATTATTAAGAATAATCGATACATCATTTTATTTTCAAAAATTTTAATAAAATTTTTGGCAAAATTCAAATTATTTTCAAAAAATTTTCTCAATTTAGTGATTTTCAATATCTATATTGTAAAAAAATTTCTAAAAGAATGCAATTCCTTAAAAAAAATTTTGATAAAATTGATCGCAAAGATTCAATTATTTAAAAAAGAATTGGTATACATTTTAAAAAAAAAAATCAATTGTTTAAAAATATTTTTATAAAACTTTTCGCAATAGTTTAATTACTTTCATAAATACTGAAATTTTTTACAGGGATTCAATTTTAGGAAACATTCAATTATTCAATAAAAATTATTTATTTTTGTACTTAAATAATTGAATTCTTATAGAATTTTCTGATAAAAATTGATTTAAAAATGAATTACAGTTAAAGTTGTAGATAATAATTGATTATTACAAGCATTTCTTTCAAACAATTGGATTTGTATTTTTACCAATTTTATTATTTTTATCTAATATTTTCATTAATAATATAATTTTTACAGGAATTCAATTAATATATAATTAATTAAATTAAATTTAATTATTTAATACTAGAGTTAAATTTTAGGATATGTTTGCTAATAGTTTTCCATAGTTTCCAACTTATTTTTATTCGAATGCCCAAGTTAAATTAATGTTTAAAATATTTTATTTATTACAAAAATATTTAAATACTCGAGAATTAAATTTGGGGTTATGTTAACGATGTTAATTAAATTGTTTTTCGATTTTCCATTGTTAAAAAATTGTTATTTTTATTTAAATGCAAGTTAAACTGTTCAAAATATTTTATGTAATGAAAAAGTGTTTTTAAATATAAAATAAACACTGAACACTAGAGTTAAATTTTAGGTTATGTCAGCAAATTGTTTTCCGGTTCTCATATATAGCGAAAACTAAATTAGTTACAATTTTGCTTATTTTTTTACTTCCGGAATCCAAAAAAATAGTTTTTCTGTTACGTCCATTCGACCTTAATGAAAAAAATATTCCCATAGAAAAAATTCTTTCGGTTTTTAAAACAAGATTATTTTCACTTTCCCTAAGAAATATTTTCACTCTTTTTTATTTTTACGATTAACAAAATCAAAATTTTAGGGAAAGATCAATTTCATAGTCGCCGGGAATATTAATCAATATATTTACTCACGTATATATTTTCTTCCTTATTTTCGAATAATATCTAACGTAATATTTACAAAAAAAATAGATTAAATAATAAGAAATCTACAATTAGGAGAAACACATTTGCATTTTACACACTTACTCAGAAACAAAATGGCGTCTCGACGTCTTCTCTCCGCTTATGAACAGTGAGTGGAGGGGGAAGGAAATTTTTTGCAACTTATTCATGAATTTTAGGAAAAATTTAATCGTTGTTGGGTTGTTGCGGATTGTCACACCTGTAAACAAAGAAAAATATGCATTTTAATTACATTTTGCAACAAATAGTGCAAAAAAGAAACACAATTTCTTGAAGCACAACGCTGAATGACGCCAAAATGAAAACCGAGTTGACAGTCATTTTAATTGATAATTAAAAGTTTTGATGTCGAAAATCATATTGCAAATGATTATTTTCTTTTAATACTTGATTATTTTCAAACATTTTTTAATAAAGAAAGGAGGATTATTCACTTTTTTGTGAAACAAACAGACGAACTCGGTCAAGTCCCACCTGTTCAATGCAGCAGCCATCGCCCGAATGCCATGAAGTTAGTCGCATCCAGTCGCATCGACTATCGAACTTTCGATGAATCGATATTCATCGAAAGTTACTTTTTGATCTCAGCGCTCACGTCGATGGCAATTTTTGGAACTAACGAATAATTCAGAAACGCCACATGATTTTATATTATCAGTTTAATTAATGACGATAAAACTGCCGCATCTGCTCTGTATACGTGTAACGCGGTGTCAGTGTATGTTTGACATTTACATTCTTATCCATCTGTTAGTCTGTTACTAATTTTACTCCGATTTTGCACGTTTTTTATATACTTAATTTTTGCTCTTCGGATTTATTTTTAATTTAATAAATATGACAGCAGATTTGGAGGATATAAAACTTTTCCAAACAATTGGATTGAGTGAACAAAAAGCAATAGAGACGCTAAAAAATGCACAAGTTACTAAACATTTAAAATTTACCATCGCTGAGGTAAGCATAACCAATAAATATGTTAACATTTCGTCATGTTTTTCATTAAATATAATTCGCAAAGTATAATAATTATTATTTAGAAAATCGATAAATATTACAAGTTTAGTAATTATATTTTTAAGTTACTATAGGTAACTGCAATTCTTTGTGTATCAATTAATGTTTAATTAAACAATTAATGTTCCTTTATCAATTAATATCATTGTTTAAGATAATTAAATTTTTCAAATATTTCTAAAAAAAATCTTTTTAAATAATTGAAATTTTGTAAAATTTAATTGAAAATAATTCATTTTTTCAAGTATTTTATTACAATCTTTGAAAATAAACTTTTGAAAAATTAATGCAAATTTTGAAAATAAATGAATTATCAAAAATGTCAATAAAAAATCTTTAAATGTAAATTTAAAAATGAAAATTAATGAAACTTAGCTTCTAATTTTTTTAAATTCAATATTTTCAGAATTTTCAATTTCTTTTTGCCGAAAATTCAAACACATACAAAAAATAATAACATTTTAGAATTCTTTTTAACATTTTGGAGAAAAAAATCATGTTCAAAAATTTTAATTAAAATTGAAATAAGTTTTATATTTTAAAAAAATTTATATTTTTGCTTTTAAACTTGTGACCACCCTGACAAAACAAACAAATTTATCTACTAATGTATATTTTTAGGCTTCAAAGCACGGAACTGTTAACAACGAGAATGGAACTTTACTGTATCACTTGGCAACAAAAATAAAAGCTCAAATAATAGACAAAGTACCATTTATATCTGAATCGATAGTGAATAAAAAATTGGATACAGTTCAAAGGGTCGACGCAGCTTTAAATTATTTTCTAAGCAACATTAAAGAAGCAATTGATATTAAAGCTTTCGAGGAAGCATGCGGTGTTGGAATTGAAGTAACTCCAGAACAAATTAAACAAGTCGTTGAGGCAATAATTGCAAAGCATAAGGATGAAATTATTGAAAAGAGGTATCGCTTTAATGCCGGGCCTTTAATGCAAAAAGTACGCACCGATTTAAAATGGGCCGATGGAAAATTAGTGAAAAGTGAATTTGATTCACAGTTAATTCATTTATTAGGTGAAAAAACGGCAGCTGACTTGGCCCCACTTCCGAAAGAGGGGAAAAATAAACAAAAAGCACCGGAGAAAGAGGCTAAAAAGAAAATCGAGAAGGAAAGTGAAGCTGTGAAGGATAAAATTGGTGCACAAACGATAAGTGAACTGATGAAAACGAAAGTTAATTTTCACAAGACTGGAGAAAATTACAAAACGGAAGGTTACGTGGTTACTCCCAATACTCATCAATTATTAAAGGAACATCTTCGCATCACTGGCGGAAAAGTAAGAACGAGGTTTCCACCTGAACCAAATGGAATTTTACATATTGGACACGCTAAGGCCATTAACATTAATTTTGGGTACGTACTATAAAAAAATCGAAAGACAAAAAGAAAAATTTTAAAAAACGTGTCTTTTACAAATTCTTCATCGGAAAGTCTTAGATTTTTAGTTTAAGATTAAAGTTCGTGACTTTTTTTTCCAGTTATGCAGCTGCTTACGATGGTACTTGCTACTTACGTTACGATGATACAAATCCCGAAAAAGAGGAGGAAAAATTCTTCGTTGGAATTCGAGATATGGTGGAATGGTTGGGTTATAAACCACATAAGATAACGCACTCTTCTGATAATTTCCAACAATTGTACGAATGGGCAGTGAAACTTATCGAAAAAGGTATGGCTTACGTTTGTCATCAAACCAGCGATCAAATGAAAGGTTTCAATCCACCGCCGAGTCCATGGCGTGAAAGACCAATTGCAGAAAATCTACAATTATTCCAGGTAATTAGAATTTCCAATTATTAAAATTAATAATCGTTTACTAAAATAAATTCTATTCGTTAAATTTAAATCGTTTTTTGATTTCCAAAAATTGTTATTATCGTTTATATATTTTTTCATCGTAATTATCGTTTCGATGTTGAACTATTAAATATATTTAATAGTCTATTTAATCTCTATTTATTAGGATATGAAAGAAGGTCTAATGGAAGAAGGAGAAGCGACTCTCAGAATGAAAGTGACACTTGAGGAAGGAAAGCAGGATCCAGTTGCTTACAGAATAAAATACACCCCTCATCACAGAACTGGCGATCAATGGTGTATTTATCCGACCTATGATTTCACTCATTGCTTGTGTGACAGTATAGAAAATATTACTCACTCGCTTTGTACGAAAGAATTTCAATCGAGAAGATCATCGTACTATTGGTTGTGCAATGCTCTAGATATTTATTGTCCCGTTCAGTGGGAATATGGAAGACTCAATGTTAGTTACACTGTTGTGTCGAAGAGGAAAATCGCTAAACTAATCGATGAGGGAATCGTTTCCGACTGGGATGATCCTAGGTAAAGAAAAATCATATTTTCAAAAATTAGAAACAAAAAATATAATGTTCAGAGTTGTCAAAATTGGGTCTGGAAATCAGGGAGAGGCAATATTAAATTTTTGTGAATTTACCTTGATGTTGTTTTTGAATTAAGTGGTGTGTAAGTCTAATAAATATTTATTATTTTTCAGACTTTTTACTTTAACTGCTTTGAGAAGACGTGGATTCCCCGCGGAAGCAATCAACAATTTTTGCGCTCAAATGGGAGTGACGGGTGCTCAGGCAACGGTTGATCCCGAAGCTTTGGAAGCATCGGTTAGAGATGTTTTGAATCTCACAGCACCTCGTCACATGGTTGTTTTAGATCCATTGAAAATTACCATTTCTAATTTCACTGGCGATTCGTCGATTAATATTTCCGTTCCTGATTTCCCCAACGAGCCAGAAAAAGGACAGCACAATATCACCTTCGACGAAATTGTTTACATTGAAGCTTCCGACTTTAAGGAGGTTGGTATATTAATTAAAAAACAATAATTAATTAAAAAACCATAATTAACATAATGTATTGTAAAATATGAAATAAATATTCAAAAAATGCAATATTAAAAATAAATATTTTCAGAACGAAGAAAAGGGATTTCGAAGACTGACACCGAAGCAATCGGTGGGTTTAAAACACACGGGCGTTGTTATTACTTTACAGTCTGTGGAAAAAGACTCAACTGGTAGGATTACGAATATAATTGCCAAACAGGAGCCAGTTTCAGATAAAAATAAACCCAAGGCATTTATACATTGGGTTTCGAAACCATCTCTCGCTTCCGTCAATCTTTATAGTCGATTGTAAGAATTAAGGCTTTTTATTAAAAAAAAAATGTAATTTAAATTTGAAAAAAGAAGAATATTTAAAGAACTGTTTTTTTTTCTTCTTTGTAGATTTAAACACAGAAATCCAGAAGACACGAACGAAGTGCCAAATGGATTTCTCAGTGATATAAATCATGATAGCAAGAAAGAAGTTGTCGCCTACATCGATTCGTCTCTAGAGAAAGTTTCGAAGCCTTTGGACAAAATGCAATTTGAGAGAATTGGATTCTTCTGCGTGGACTTTAATTCTAAACCCAACAAGGTAAGAAATATCCAACAAAATAGTTTTTAATTTTAAATTAATATTTCTGACGCTCTCCAAAGAAAATAAAAATTTTATTTACAAAACAATTTTAAAGTAATTGAATTTCATGAAGAATTTATTTATTTTCAGTAATTGTAATAAAATTCTTTAGTCAATTTGTAAATAATAAAAATAGTAAAAAATTAATTCATTTTTATATAAATAATAAAATTCTTATCAGGATTTCACTTATTTTCATGATACAATTTTAATTAATTTCTTCGAAAATTTCAATTATTTTTAAAAAATCTTGTAACAATTCTCCTAGAAAATTTAATTATTTAAAAAATAATTGAATGTTTCGCAAGAATTCAATTATTTAAAAAAGTTTTAATAAATTTTATTCAAGAATTGAATTATTTTTAAAAATAATGAAATTTTCGCTGGAATTCAATTATTTTAAATTCAATTTTAATTCAATTCCAGTGAAAATTAAATTATTTTTAAACATTTTTTTTTCAATTCTTCGATAGAATTCAATAATATCAATAAATAGTAAATTTTTCACAGAATTTCAATTATTTTTAATAAAATTCTATTCAAGAATTTAACTATTTTCATAAATAATAAAATTTTGACAGGAATCCAATTACTTAAAAGACAATTTTCATGAAATTTTTTTCGAAAATAATCAATTATTTAAAAATATTTTTGTAGAATTCTGCTCAAGAATTCAGTTACTTATTAAAAAAAATTTAATTCGTATCGGGAATTCAATTATTTACCATTTTTTAAAAATATTTGTTCGCAATAATTCAATTATTTTCATAAATAATAAAACTTATCACAGAATTTCAATTATTTTTAATACAATTTTAATAAAATTCTTCTCAAAAATTCACTTATTTTTTAAAATTTTCCAATAATTCAGTTCTTTGTAGAAATAATAAATTTTTTCGCAAGAATTCTATTATTTAAAAAAGTTTTAATAAAATTCTATTCAAGAATTCAATTATTATCAGAAATAATTAAATTGTCGATGTACTGAAAATCATTAAATTCTTGTAAATAATATTTATAAAAAAAATTTGAAAATAATTGAATTCATTCTATTATTTCAATTTATATTTCAATTTTATTCATTTCAATTCTATTGAAAATATTTTAATTCTTGGCAAGATTTTTATTAAATTTCTTTAAAAACAATTTAATTCTTCTAAAGAATTTATTTCAATTTTCTTGAAATTAATGGAGTTTTTTAAAATAATTTTTACTGAAACTTTTGAAAATAATTGAATTTTAAGAAGAATTTTATTATTTACAAAAATAATGGAATTCTTCTCAAGAATTTTACAATTTATAAAAATAATTGAATTGTTTCGAAGAATTTTTTATCAGAATTGTTGAAAGTAATTGAGTTTTTATTAAAAATCATGAAAATAATTGAATTTAAATAATATTTTTAAAAATAATTGTATTCTTTCGAGAAATTTTATTAAAATTGTATTGAAAATATTTAATGGAATTCCTCCGAAATATTTTATTATTTATGAAAATAATTGAATTTTATTATTTATGAAAATATTTTGATTATTGCGAAGAATTTTCTTTTTTATGAAAATAATTGAATTCTTACGGAGGATTTTACAATTCATAAAAGTAATTGAACTGTTTCCAAGAATTTTATCTGAATTTTTGAAAATAATTGAATTTTTTTGAAGGAATTTGATTAAAAATTTGGAAAATAATGAGTTTTTAAAAAGAATTTCATCAAAATTGTTTAAAATAATTGAATTTATATTAAAATTCTTGAAAATAATCGAATTCAATTAATATTTTTAAAAATTCTTGCGAGATATTTTATTAAAATTTCGTTATTAATAATTATTAATACGAAATCTTAATTAAAAGCCTTCTTAGGTAGCTTTCTTTGAAGAGCGTCACATTTTTGTTGTGAAAAATTATTATTATGTGTATTAATATGATACAATTATTTTCTAGGTTGTTTTTAACAGAACTGTCACTTTGAAAGAGGATGCAGGAAAAGTCTAGAAAAAACTAATTGAATATGTTATTTTTTTTGAAAAATGGCGTAAGTTCAAAATATTTTTAATGTACGCAATTCTCGATTTTCTATTTAATAAATTTATATTTATAAAGTACCTATGTAAATAATTATCAAAGTTATTTCTTTCATAGAAAATTTTCAATTTCTTCTTGTTTCGTTTCTTTTCAAAACATTCTTTTTTCTTTAATTCATAACGCATGATTCATAAGTTGGGACCATATATTTGATATTTATAAATGCATCCTCACCGCCGTATCTTTCAAGAATTTCCAGTGTTTCCTGAATTAAATCTGATGGATTTTCACCTCGTTGCTGAGAATAGTCGATTCCTTCTCCAAGATTTACTTTAAATAGAAGAATTAAAATACAAGAATTAAAAATACAAAGTATATTTTTTTATTATTCTTTTTACTGAAAATTTTTATCAATTTACCATTTTTGTCTTTGAGCAAATTAGGAATGGGGAGAATTTGACGAAAATATGGTACCAAAGATTCTCCTATGCATTCACCGGAACGAACTAATCGTTGAATTGCTCTCATTGTCATGCAGATTATTTCTGGAATTTTCGTGTTGAGTGCTTCTACAATTGATAAATTTTTTATTTGAGTGATTTCTGAGTCACGGTGAGAAATTTAATTGTAATTAATTGATTAATAGATTACTTTTAATTGGAATAATAAGTTGTGGTACGACTGGAAGAATTTTTGGACCGCCATGTTCAAGCATTTCGGTTGTTCCTTGTTCGACGAGAAATTTATAAGGAGCTTCAGTTTCAGTTAAACCGTCGAAAAACATTGGAAGATAATAATGAAAATCCAAATCCTCTATTCTGACTTTCCAACTGATTCTTTGTCCGTTGCTGTCGTCTTCAAGGGCAATTGGAAAAGCTCCTCTCTCGTAATATTTTCGGAATGTTGATGTCTTCGGTGGTTTTGGATCGTAAACTCCAATTTTCGGCGGTTTCGCTACTATCGTATTTTCCTGAAATCAGGGAATTTTTTTTAAATTAGTAAATTCAAATTTAATTTTTAAATAAAATCGTGTTTTTTAAAAAAAAAAAGCAAAGTTTTTCGACTTTATTTTCGAAATTTGTGGTTTTTTCCCAAATATTGCAATAAAATACAACTTTTTTATTTGGTAAGTATTAAATTATAAAATTTGCTCTGAGTGTAAATTTAAGGAATGTTTTAAAAATTTAAATAATGAACTTACTTGCATTGCTTGAATTGTGAATGCAGGAACGACTCGTGGTTTTTTCTGTTTATATTTTGGCAAATTTTTCCGAATTTCCGACCAAAATTCCCGTTCGTTCACCATTGTGTGCAAAAATGTAAACAAATATGCAGAATTAATTTTAATTATAGTATTTAATAGTAGTATCGTATAAATTTTCTCAAAAAATTTTAGTTTCTTTTACTTTTTTTTTTTTGCTTTTCATCTCCTGAAAGTGCCTGAAAGTCAAAATATGTAAAATGTAAAATTTCGATAACGTTCCTAAGCAACGAAGTTTGATCAATAAAAAAGAGACGAGCTAAACAAATTTTCTTTGAATACTTTTTTTAAAGTAAAAAGTAGACAATTACAAACATTGATACAAACTAATAATTAATCAAATTTAACACCTATTTATTCCTACATTTTTTTTTACAAAAATTTACTTTACAAGTATTTTAAAAATGCATAATTCAACATGAAGTTTTTATCTACAGTAAATTATGTTTTATGTTCGCATTTTTCGGTTTAAAAATGACAAACTTAAACTTATAATATAAGTATTTATAAATTTGTGCAAACAAAAATTTAAATTCTCCTTCAAGACTTTTCTCCATGGAATTGAGGATCGTCGAAAATCAGACTTCTTTTCTGTGGTTCATCTTTGTTAGCTGTATTTTTCTATTAAGGAAAATTTCAATTCAAATTCGACTAAATTAAATTAAAATAAATTACTTAGATGTAGATTTAATTTTGGTTTCTAGCAGGGCTCGAACAAGTGAAATTATTTTAAAATACGGACTTTACAGACCAAATTATCAATTATTATTTTCAAGAATTTGTAACTAAAATTCTTCTTTAAATCGATTACCTATATTAATTTTTAATAATTTTCGAAAAAGTTCTTTGACAATTATTAAATCCATTTGTTTACAATATTCAATTGTACGAAATTGAAAAAAAAACTTACCTTTACAGACTTCAAGCAAATTTACGGATCTTTACGGTATTTACGGACGTAGTTCGAGCCCTGAATTTCTAGTTAAATTAAAATTAAATTAGTTAGAAAAGGATATTTGTGAAGAAGTTTGAAAATTCCTGTTCCAACAGGAACTTGAATTCCCATGATTATTGATTCCGAAACACCGCAAATTGTATCCTTTTGTCCATAATAAGCTGCATCGAATAAATGATCGGCCGTTTTTTCAAACTGAAAGAAAATATTTTTATTTGCCAATATTTCAGTTTTGCTCAGCAGTTATTTTTTTTTTAAAAAAGAAGAAGTTAATAATTACCGAAGCTAAATTTAAAACGGATTCTTTCATTTTCGCTAAACCTTGTCTTGTAATTCCAAGAACTTCTCCTCGGCTTGTCATTAAATCGGCAACTAACATAGGATGACGTCTATCGATACTCATACCATGGTTCTCCATTACCAATTTAATTTCAGTCATAATTGTCGCTCTTGCAGCTTCGATTCCCAATGTTCGAAATACCTGAAATAATTTTCAATTTAATCTACAATAACCAACTTATTCTTTCCTTCTTTCTTTCTTTTTTTTGTCTCTCTTTTTTCCTTTCTTTCTTTCTTACTTTCTTTTTTTCTTTCTTGAAAAATATTGACAATCAAGAAATAATTGTAAATAATTAAAAATATAACACTATGTTAACAATTAGTATTTAAATTGTAATTTATTATTGCAAACTAACTTCAATAGTATTATTTGAAGTTGTCTTCTTCCCGAGAATTCCGGGTGTCGCCATTACTTCTCGCATGTTGTCACCTTCGACGAATAATTTATATTTCGTTTGTCCACTTGCGTCGTCATTGTGAATGACCGCTCGATTCACCGAAGCAAGACCCTGAAAATTATTAAATTAAAAAAAAATTCAAACAAAAATTTATTTTCTATTATTACCTTTATAACAACATTGCCCAATTGTTCTTTTAAAGTTGTTAATGCTACACTTAGACTATGTTTTTGTTTAGACGGATTCACCGTAAGTATCGAATCTCCCTGAACATTTACCAATTTCGGATTGATTTTTAACTTCGAGGTGCAAATTCTGAAAGAAAAGAATTATTTCATTCAATTTACAGGATTTTAATTAGTCAATTATTTTCATTATAATTTGAAAACGAAGCCTGAAAATAATAAAAAAATACTTACGAATATCGAATCGATTCGGCGTCAACTTCAAGTTTTAGTAAATTAATTCTATCCGTATCGAGTTTTATTAAAAGGAAACAATCATCTGGCAGGTAAACTTCTTCAATATATTCAGAAACTTCTCCTAATGTAGTCTTTTCTATCCTTCCCTTCACTCTCCTTGCAAACTCTGGATCTGTGTCATCTTCCTGGAAAGAAAACGAAAAATAGAAAACAATTTCTAACAAATTAGAAGAAGTTTAATTCTATTAACCAGGAATCGATAGTTAATTAACTTATATCGATAGTTAATTTACTTTAAGAAGAAACGATTGAAAATTCTCACCAAAGCGACGGTAATGATAGGTGTACTAATTTTTGGATTGGCATTAATAATCTCCTTTATTCGAGGTACACCCTGAGTGATATTCATAGAAGCAACACCGGCAAAATGGAAAGTTTTCAATGTCATTTGAGTTCCTGGTTCGCCAATACTTTGAGCTGCTAATGCTCCAACAGCCGTTCCTGGTTCGACAGTTGCTCTCATGTATTTCTCCTTGCACGTGTGAATAAATTCCACTAATTGCGAAAGAGTCAAACGTTCAAGTTCCAATTTCACGGGTGTTTTTGTTGTCATATTCGATCGAATTTTACCAACTTTCTTCGCCACTGACGTCATGAATTCTCTATGAAATTTATAGTTAAATTATTTTTAAGTAAATTTAAATTAAATTTAAGTAAATTATCAAATATTTAATATTTGTATTGAATTGAATAAATATTGAATTATTTAGAATCTAAATAATGAGTCAAAATTACTTAAGTTCATCCTTAAACTCTTCGCTGAGACAGGAATATTCTTCATTTTTCAGTAGTTCCTCGGCGGCTTTTTTAATTTGTATCGGTTCGAGTGGTTCTTCGTCTCTATAGAGCGACATTGCTCTCACGTGATCAAGAACTCGTTTATAATCGACTGGACAGTCTTTACCTGAAAAATTTAAAAGAACGTTATTTTTCTTCGTTTAAGGAAGACAAAAATTTATAGATTATGTTTACGATCCTTAAGCTCAAAGGAATTAAAATTTTTTTTTAGCATTTTGCAAAGGAACGATCGTAGACTTAATCTATTGTTTTTGCTTCTACGGTTGTTTGTTTTGTTTTCTAACGAAAGGAAATTGAATTTTACCTTCCATGTAAGTTGGATCGAGACCATCGGCACCGTATTTAAATTGAACAATATCTCCGACAGAATTTCTAACAGTCAAGTCATATTGTAAACACAGGTCTTCTAAACTCTTCACTAATCGTCTTTGCATGTAACCAGTTTCGGCAGTTTTTACCGCCGTATCAACAAGACCTTCTCTGCCTCCCATGGTGTGAAAAAAAAATTCCGGCGGCGTGAGTCCTGAATAAAAGGAATTTTGCACAAATCCTTTCGCTGCCGGTGTCTTGGAAAATTTCTCAAAATGAGGCAGTGCACGATCTTCAAATCCATCGGGTACACGTTTTCCGCTGATGGCTTGCTGTCCCACACATGCTGAAAATTAGCAAAAATTAATATGATTTTATATTATAAGAATATTGTTACTGCAAATTTCTGAAAATTATTTTCATGATTTCTATCCAATTAATATTTTCTAGAATTTTCAAATAAAATTCTTGTTTAAATTAATTATTTTTAATAATTATTGAAAAAGTTCTTTGCGAATTATCAAATCCATTTGTTATCGAAAATTATCAAAAATTCGAAAAACCGAACTTCTTAAAAATCAACATTTTTCTTCTCTTTTAGAGCTTTTAGCTTCAATATTTTTGGGCTCTTCAAAAACACTTTACTCAATTAATAGTCTCCAACCTTTGATAAAAAATCTAAAATTTTCAAAAATTATCAAAAATTCGAAAAACCGAATTTCTTAAAATACAACATCAGGGTTCTTACAGAAATCCGAACTTAAAATTCCATTCCTTTTCCATGATTTCCTGGTCAAATTTTTATGAAATTCCAGTGGAATTTTAAATTTAATTTCCACGTCGTATAATAAACATAATTATATTATATCTTAACATTTCTTATTGAATTTCTATTGAAGAGAAAAAATGGAAAACAGGAAAAATTTAGAAACTTTTAAAAATTCCAGGCCTTTTCTTTAATTTCCTGATTTCCAGAAGACTTTTAAAAATCCCATACCATTTACATGATTTCCATGATTTCCAGATTCTGTATGAACCCTGATTAAGTTATTTAAAAACAAACTATTGTCAAATATAGAAAAAATTGAAGGATTTGTATTAGAATTCGTGGTAATTTCATAATTTATGAGACAAACAAAAAAGACACAAAAATTTGGTTTTTTCTTATGAATTCTAAAAATTTAATTTTTTTTTCAGTACTTTTAATTAAATTCCCTGAATTTTCGCTGATCAATTCTACTTTCCTTGACGTTTCTTTTGATCTTAGACAACCCTAAACTTTTGATTGAATAAGTATTTAAAAAAAAATTTTTAATTCCTTTATATTACCTATCATTTGAGATATGTTGATAAAACTTCCTTTTGAGCCAGAGAGGGCCATGACAAGTGGACTGTTGCTTGGATGAAGTTCTTTTAAACACGCTTTACCGGCATGATCACGAATAACAGAGAGTTCCTTCAATATAATCGCTTCGAGGGATTCCTCTTCGGAACAACCTGGTTGACACGGCAGACGTCCTTCCTCCATTTGATGTATATACTCGGTACATTTTGAATAACTGAAAAAGTAATAAGGTAAATAAAAAAAAAAAGAAAAGTTAAGTAAAAGTAATAAACTGTTATAATTTAAAAACATTTTCTGCAATTTTTTCTTTTTACATACCCAGCTTGTAGGAGTTCGTGTTTTGCCTTCAATAAACCCTGACCAGGTGAAACGTCACCGATTCCAATCGAAAAGCCTCTATTCATCAGAAAAAGACTCGCCATTCTCGATAAACGCCACATTGCTATAGTTGCCGCATCTTCGCCCCAATCGCGTAATAAAACGTAGAAAATATTTTGCTTTGATCCAGAACCCATGATAGTTTTGTCCATCGATCCAGCAATAAGCTCTGAATTTCGAATTATTACGTCTAAAAATTAAAGATTAATGTAACGTCTCTTCTGTTATATTTTTTTACTGTTTATTCTCACAAAGTAAAATTTTATCGAAAATACAAATAAAAACATTGTTGCTACTTCGATAACTTTTTAAAATTTATTATCGTTTTTAATAACACTTTTTGTTCGTTATCACTGACGGCGGTTCTATTTAGAAAAGTGAAAATACTCACAAGAATCGTTAATACATAATTCCTCGTTACAAGTGTAGGCTCTTCCTTTCGTCTTGAGATTTGCTTTAATAGTGCCATTTTGATTAGGTTTTAAGATTAAACTGAAAATTTGCTTTCCAGTCCACATTTCGTGGGGCTTAAGAATCGCAGGTCGTGGTAAAGTAATCTCTAAATCAGAATCAAGTCCCGACACTAAGCAACCTGCCAATTGATAAGCTTGTGTTTTATTCAAAAAAGTGTCCTTTTGCGTCAGCAAATAACCACCGGTTATAAAATCTTGCGTCGCTGCAATGATTAATTCTCCATTTCGAGGAGTTACCAAATTTGATTTATTCTGAAATATCAACAAAAAAAATTATTTTTAAATACTCATTTTTTATATAAAGAAGTAATGTTAAAAATTATAAATTTACCCCCATTAAGACAAGCGCTTCCGCTCTCGCTTCTTCCGTTTGGGGCAAATGTAAATTCATTTCATCGCCATCAAAATCTGCATTGTAAGGAGTACAGACACATTCATTAAATCTAAATGTCCGATGATCTAATACTTTCGCTTTGTGAGCCATTATCGAAAGTTTATGTAAAGATGGTTGTCGATTGAAGAGAACTACGTCGTCATCTCGTAAATGTCTTTCAATTATATCACCGTACTAGAAAAAAACGATTTTTTTTATATTTATATTTAAATATTATTATTACAAGTGAATAAGAAAATTAGAAACCTACCTGCAGGTCTTGGGCGATTTTTTGCTTATTACCGTATCGCAAATATTTTTTCACCTTACTTTTCGAATGTTGAATAAAATTAGCACCAGGATGAACGTCAGGACCGTTTTGAATCAATTTTCGCATTAGTTCGATATTCGCTTTATTTACTCTCTCCGGATAAGTGAGAATTTTCGCCACATGAACTGGAACTCCAACCTTTTATTAAAAAAAACGAATTGTTACATTTTACAGTAATAAGAATTAAAATTTTTATAATAACAAAATTAATAATAATTACTTGATCAATCCGAAGATTTGGATCTGGGGAAATGACAGTTCTGCTCGAAAAATCAACTCGTTTTCCAGACAAATTTCCACGGAAACGTCCCTGTTTTCCCTTTAAACGTTGAACTAAACCCCTTCCTGATTTTTTCGGCTAAAACAAAATAAGAAGATAAATAAAATATAAACAGAAGATTAACAAAATAAATAAAAGATACTTCCTCTATGAGGAAGTAATTAATTAAATTATTAAATTTGATTTTTATGGACTATATTTAAATTCGTATTTCGGCATGGGCTTTTTATTATTATTTACAATTATATTATAAATATTATAAAATAGTTAAGATGCATAAAACGAAACTTACTTGCATATTAAGGGGAATTCCAGACACTTCGCTATTAATATAAAGAGCGCAGTGCAATTGTAAAAATTCCCATGCTTCATTGTACATTTGCACTCTTGATCCACTAACTCGATGCTTCTGAATAATATCATTGATAAAAACAATTTCACTAAGTTTCATTGTGAGATTATCCTCATTTGTTCCGGCCTTCAAGTCTGATTCAACTCCAGGACGAATACAAATCGGTGGCACTGGAATTCGGGTTAAAATCAAATCTTTCGGATGCGCATAATTTTGATTCATCAAAAGAAGCGGTACATCGTTCTCGGGAATGCGCTCAAATAAATTTTGTACCTTTTAAAAGAAAAAAGAGAAATAACAAAATATTAATTAAAAAATGAAAGTTTTGAATTACAGGCTTCGCACTTAAAAGAATAATTCAATTACTTCGAATAATTTAATTAAAACTGTATTAAAAATAATTGAATTCTTGCAATGAATTTAATTATTTATGAAAATAATTGAATACTTATAAACAAACATCAAAATTTTAGAAAATAATTAATTTTTTCCACAGTATTCTATGTAAATATTTTAAATAATCGATTCCTTTCAAATTTTTTTTTTTGAAATTGTATTTAATTGAATTCCTGTGAAAATTTTATTATTCATATTAATTGAATTTTTGCGAAGTATTTTATTAAGGGATTTTCGAAAGTTTCGATATTTTATAGCTTCTTTACCTCTAATGGATTTAAAACGTTGACGAGTCCACTTTGTAAAATACTTTCCAATTCTTTATTATCCTCAACAGCATTTCTGTATTCTGCTAATTTCTCCTGTAGAACTAAATCAGTACTTTTTTTGCCCTTAAATTTTTCATGAACAATTTTCAATAAACCGGCTTTCTTTACAGTTCCATTTTGTTCACCGCATGATTGGCAAATACTGGTTTTCTTCGCCTTCTCAAGAATCTGTTTCCTTAAAGCTTTGCGACTTAAATAATCTAAATTTGGGTTTAGAACACGATTTAAATAAGTCTTTTTAATATCTTTGGTTAACATTACAGTTGAACATTTCTGCAAAAAAGAAGAAAGAAAACGTTAGTAACTTTAACGTCCTTCGATATTTTATAATTTAAAATAAGAATTGAAATATTATTTACTTTACAAATTGACTGCAAGATTCCAATGATCGATCGAAAATAACCGATATGAAAAACTGGCAATTCAAGATCTATGTATCCAAAATGACCAATACATTCATTTAGTGTTTTATTACAAGTTGTACAATTGGTTGAGTTCGACGAAGTACCCTGAAAATTAAAATTCTCTTTTTAAAATCGTTTTTTGGAAAAATATAGACGAATATTGATTGGAATTTGTAATTACCATTCTTTTATCGAGAACACCGTAAGTGACAGGTGTTCGATTACCATCTTGACAATATAAATTCTTGGCGACGACGTGAAGGTGAGCCTGTTTTCCCATATTGTGTCGACTATCAACACCGAAAGATACCTCCGATCTGAATGACAATAAATTATAAATTTAATCAAAAAAACTTATAGATTTTTTGTAAATTAACTTATAAATTAAACTTATAGATTAAAATTTTAAAAATACACAAAAATCACAAATAATTTATAGAAAAAATAGTAGAAAATCGTACATCTTTCGGGCGACGTCAGTTTCTCGGTACAATTCCTTAACCATTTTGAAGGTTATAACTTTTCCCTGTATACGATTGTGAGTATTCAATCAAAACAATTTGAATAAATTAATAAAAGTCCTTTCTGTACTACCTATATATTACTTTATCTTGAAAAGGCTGTAAAACTTTGTCATTTTTACATTTTTTTATTCAAACAAATATGAACAAATGCAACAAATGATCGGAACCACAACCACCACAAGCACGTTTTTCTAAATGTGTTGACTACGGTTGGGAAGGTGTGAACTAACGTTTTGTAATTTGCGCAGTTCTTTACGTAATTTACCGTACTTTTCAGATTGTGACAGAACAGTGTGACAGCACCTTTATTTGCATTCGCCATGAAACTACGGAAGCGCCTATACGCCACTGTAACCGAATCCCGTATGTGTGCATAAAGTAAGGTACAAATACAAGAATTGCGTGCGAGGGACCCCCTTAGGCTAGCTGAAATTCCCTAGAATAGAATTAATTGCGAGCGAGCCTACCCCTTAGGCTAGCTGAAATTCGTTAAAATTAAACGACTGTGTGAAAAGGAGGTTATGTTTTCTTTCCTGAAACATTAATTAAAATTAATTTTTTTAAACATTTCTTTTTCACAAATTGAAAAAAAGAAATCTTGTGAGGTAATAAGTTAAATTTATTTGGAAAAAAAGTAAAATAATTTTGAAGTTAAATTGATAATGTGTCTACAATTATTCTGATCCATTTTACAAAAAGAAAATTAGTTGTGTTATTTATGGGAAATTTTAAACATGAAATATTTATATTTTTTTAATATATACATACAAATATGTAAGTTAAAACAAAATCGAATTTTAAAAAACAGACCATTGTAGAAACTATTTAATAAGAGTTGAAAAATTATTAATAAATTAATTAAACATAACTTTTTTACAGAGCTAACAATTATCAATTTAACCTCAAAATTATTTTACTTTTTTCCAAATAAATTTAACTTATTACCTCACAAGATTTCTTTTTTTCAATTTGTGAAAAAGAAATGTTTAAAAAAATTAATTTTAATTAATGTTTCAGGAAAGAAAACATAACCTCCTTTTCACACAGTCGTTTAATTTTAACGAATTTTAGCTAGCCTAAGGGGTAGGCTCGCTCGCAATTAATTCTATTCTAGGGAATTTCAGCTAGCCTAAGGGGGTCCCTCGCACGCAATTCTTGTATTTGTACCTTACTTTATGCACACATACGCGATTCGGTTACAGTGGCGTATAGGCGCTTCCGTATGAAACTGTGATCGGGACTTGATATATTTGGCGGCAATTGAGCAAGTTATCCAACCCTGATTCGCATCGCAGTTATGGCAGTTATCAACAATTTGTTGACAAAGCAAAAGAAATAAAAAAATATTCTTGTAATTTAGTGTTTATATATGTAAAAAAAATACAAACATTTATGTGATTTGAAACTTTCACTATTTAGGAAATCTTTCATTAGAAAAGTGGTGGAAACGATTAATCGTAGTGACCAAGAATTTTTATTATAACGACGTTGATTAGAATTTTTAGGTTATAATAAAATGGATGATTTTTCGGCTACTCAACTTTGCGAAAGTAGCAAAAGCCTAAGTGAATTGTCGCAAACACAAACTCCTGAAGGTGACAGGAAAAAGCAGGTAAGAAATATGAATTATTTACATGTTATTGTCTTATCAACAATTTTTTACTTCTATTTAATTTCTTTGCTTCTTTCGAACTATTTCCTTACTATAGTAACTTAGTAAGGAAGCTGTCGGCCTTGTGGTGAAACCGATCTTTGACGGTCTTGATACTTTTTAATAATATTAATATAATTACTAATTTACTACTATTACTAATTACTCTAATTACCAGGCCTCGGACATGATCGTTTATTTAAACGTTCAATTTAATTAAAATAATTAATTTTAGAAGGAAATTTGATAAAAAGTTTAGAAATAATTAAAATTTTTATTATTTTTAGAAATTATAAATATTTGAACGAATTTTTTTAATTTAATTTAATTAAAATAATTAATTTTGGAAGCAAATTTGTAGAAAAGTTTGGAAATAATTTAAATTTTGTAATTTTTATAAATTAATTTTTGAACAAATTTTTTTCTTTAATTTAATTTAATTAAAATAATTAATTTTTTAAGGTAATTTTTGAAGAAAAGTTTGTAAATAATTTAATGTTTATTTTATTTAATTAAAATAATTATTTTTGGAAGGAAATTTGTAGAAAGGTTTGTCAATAATTTAAATTTTGTAATTTTTAGAAATTATTAACTTTTAAACAAAGTTTTTTAATTTTAATTAATCAAAATAATTAATTTTAAAAGGAAATTTGATAAAGAGTTTGGAATTAATTTAACTTTTTGTAATTTTTAGAAATTGTTAATATTTGAACGAATTTTTTCAATAAAATAATGAATTTTGGAAGCAAATTTGTAGAAAAAATTGGAAATAATTTAAATTTTGTAATTTTTAGAAATTCATGTTTGAACAAATTTTTTTAATTTAAATGATCCATAAGTTTTGAACATTCACGTGAACGAAATATTTTTTATGTAAAATATTTTCATGAATTACTGATTGCAATAAAATTAAAAAGATCCAAATTCCACTTAGAATCTTTAAAAATTGAATTTTATTTCTAGTGATGGAAAATTATTGTAACAAAAATTAATTTAAGCAAAAAATAAATAAATTTTGTTCATTTGAACTTTTAAAACTTTAGGACCATTAATTTAATTTGATTTAATTTAAATAATTAATTTTTGAAAAAAAATTTTAGAAGAAAAATTGAGAAATAATTTAAATTTTGCAATTTTTAGAAATTATTAATTTTTGAACGATTTTTTTAAATTTACTTTAATTTAACTAATTATCCATATTCCAGATCGGAACATTAAAAATAAGAAATAAAGAATATCCAATTTATATTGGAACAAATACTCTTGGCAGACATAATTCGAATCAGATTATTATTAAAGATGCAGTAAGTATTATTCAAATTACTAATTAATTCTTTAAAATTAACAATTTTTAATTTGTACATAAATTTTCTATATATATAATTTTTTTTATTACAGTCAGTTTCAAAGCATCATGCTGAAATCGAAGGAAGGAAACGAAGTTGTTTCGTGACAGATCTAAAATCCTTAAATGGAACTTTCGATCAATTTAAGGTAAGTTTTTAAATTAATACAAAAAAATTGTAACAAATAAAAATATTATTATTCGATTTTAGGAAAAATATCTAGAAAATAAGGCGTACATGTTAATGAATGGATCCACGGTAAAATTCGGTCAAGTTGAAGCAACTTTTAGACATTTTCGCTCTGAGGGCAATGTCATAAGAACTCCAGTAAGTGCAAGGATAAATCAACTTGTCGCGAGTACACCGCAATCTGCTTTGGTATGTTTCAATTTTTTCCTTTTTTCTAATAATTACGTTGTAATTTTTATTAAATTCGTATTTAATTTTAAATTCATTTTAATTTCGTTGTTTCTTTTTTCTCAATTTAATATCAAATTTGCTTTACAAATCTCTTGTAAAGCAATTAATTTATTGATTTTTTCGCAATTATTTGATGGTTTAAATTACACGAGTTATTCTAATAAAATTTCTTTTTATTGTGTTTCTTATCTATAACTGACACTAAACCCTATAATTGAAAAATTCTTTAAGACACTCGAAAATATTGAATTCTGAATCCATTTGTACAGAATAGCACCCACGATGAATCGTCGGTAGTTTATGGAACGCAAGCTGCCCAAGAAATTTCAAGTCCTTGTTCAAGTAAATTTGTCAGGCCAAAGAATTTACAAAACGAGTTTTCGAAAATTGAGGATAATTTAGGTGAAATTGAAGAAGAATTTCATAAAGAATTCAGTGTAAATATATCTTCAGCTAATGAAGCAGTTAATCATGAGAATTTAAAACATCAAAATTCAGCAGATCTTGATTTGTTTTCTCATATTTCAAGCAAAGATATTCCAACAACGTCCTTTAAAAATATTGAAGAAGAACCCACACAGGCATTTATTGTAAAAAAACGTTCCGAAACTTTCGATAATCCAAATATTGTGCCTGAATCTGATTCAGATTCAGACAGTGATCACGAGAAAAACATTTCCAGAGGAGATAAAATTTTTGAACTCGAAACTCAGCCAGTTGCGAATTTAATAGATAAGAAAAATACTTCAAAATCATTTAAAAATAATTCAAAAAAAGCAGATACAGATGATGAGGATGAAATTTTCAAACAACAAACACAATTAGTTGACAAAAAACTAATACCAAAAGTTGATAAAATAAATATTTCCCTAAATTCAAGTAATATTCATCTCGAAGTAACACAAAGTTTCGAAAAAGAAGAAGAAAGTAGCGATAAAAATGTGTCTGCAAATTATTCGAGAGTCAAGGATTCCGATAAAGAGGTTTTTAAAGAAACGGTTAAAAAAATTCCCGATAAAATTGATGATATACATGAAAATGCGACTCAAGTATTTTCTACAAAATCAAATGATGTTCATGAAGTGAAGACTCAAGCATTTTTAAGTCCATCTACCCGCGTGCCATTGAAATCGAAAAACACCGCTTTAGCAAAATTGGAAGATTCCGATACGGATGAAGAAGGAATTTTCGAAGGTTCAACACAAAAGGTCGAGGGAAATTTAGATAACATTCACGAAGCAATCACACAAGCGAGTTCGAAATCAAAGGACAATGAAGATTCCGAAACCGATGAGGAAGGAGTTTTTAATGAACCGACACAAAAAGTTTCTACAAAAATTGATGACTCAAAGAATTTAGATTCAAATACTAATAAAGACGTTTCATCTGAATCAAATAAACAACTTTCCGATCACAAAACTACGGCTCAAGTATTTTTAAAACCGGACAATATCCATGAAAATGAAACACAAGCATTTTCCAGTGCCACGAAAATATTACGCGAAGAATCTAAAGATCCACAAGAATATTCGGCGAATTTCGAAGCAGATGAAATTGATTTTGAAGGACCGACTCAAAAACTCCCTCGTCACGTTCGTAATATTCACGAAGATTCGACTCAAGTTTTTGCAAACAATAAAATTCATGAAGATAAAACACAAGTATTTTTGAGTCCATCGAGTAGAAAATTACCTGGAAAATCGAAGAAAGATATAAAAGAAAAACGAAATGAAGATCTCGAAGAAGATGCGAGAAATTTTCAAGATGAGACAGATTTTGAGGGACCGACTCAGAAATTCCCGCATAAAGTTCGTAACGTTCATGAGGACGCGACTCAAGTATTTGCCACGAAATCGGACAATATTCACGAAGATAAAACTCAAGTATTCTCGAGTCCTCCACCAAGAAAATTACACGAAAAATCTAAAGATCTAAACGAAGATGTACACGAATTTTCGAGAAATTTTGAAGAAGATGATATAGATTTTGACGGACCGACTCAAAAAATACCCGAAAGAGTTGAAAAAATTCACGAGGACGCGACTCAAGCATTCGCCACGAAATCGGAGAATATCCATCAAAGTAAAACTCAAGCATTCTCGAGTTCTTCGACAAGAAAATTAGACGGACAATCTAAAGATCTAAACGAAGATCTGAACGAAGATGTAAAAGAATATTCGAGAAATTTCGAAGAAGATGATATAGATTTTGACGGACCGACTCAAAAAATACCCGAAAGAGTTGAAAAAATTCACGAGGACGCGACTCAAGCATTCGCCACGAAATCGGAGAATATCCATCAAAGTAAAACTCAAGCATTCTCGAGTTCTTCGACAAGAAAATTAGACGGAAAATCTAAAGATCTAAACGAAGATCCAAACGAAGATCTAAAAGAATATTCAAGAAATTTTGAAGAAGACGATATAGATTTTGACGGACCGACTCAAAAAATGCCCGAAAGAATCGATAATATTTACGAAGACGCGACTCAAATATTCTCAAAAAAATCAGATAATATCCATGAAGACAAGACCCAAGTATTCTCGAGTCCGTCAATAAGAAAAATATCAAAAAAAGCAGATCTTTCGAAATCGAAAGCAGATCGAGAAGAAGATTCAAGAAATTTGGAAGCAGACGAAATAGACTTTGAGGGACCGACACAAAAATTACCCGAAAAAATCGATAATATTTACGAGGACGCGACTCAAAAAATACCCGAAAAAATCGATAATATTTACCAGGACGCAACTCAAGTATTCTCGACAAAATCCGAAAATATCCATGAAAGTAAAACTCAAATTGTTCCCAGTTCTTCGGGAACAAAATTACTGAAATCAGCCCTCAAAACACATGCAAGAAAATCTCTAATAAAGCACTCGTCTGTTTTTGAATCAAACGAAATAGATTTTGATGCAGAGACGCAAAAAATTTCGGACAATATCCATCAAGACGAGACGCAATTATTTTTAAACTCTAGGAAAAAGTCGAATATTCTCGAAACAGATGAAATTGATTACGAGGGTCCAACGCAAAAATTAATTACGAAGTCTGTTAGAATTGATGAAGCGGCCACTCAATTTATAGGTTGTCAATCAGAGAAGGAGGATTCTGATACTGATGAAGAAGGAATTTTTGAAAATTCCAAAGAAGATGGGAAAAAGGAAGATATTCACGAGGCGGAGACTCAACTTTGTGATAAATCAGAAAAAAATGATTCCGATACTGATGAGGAAGGAATTTTTGAGAATTCTAAAGAAGATGGGAAAAAGGAAGAAATTCACGAGGCGGAGACTCAACTTTGTGATAAATCAGGAAAAGCTGATTCCGACACTGATGAGGAAGGAAATTTTGAGAATTCTAAAGAAGATAAGAAAAAGAAAGAAATTCACGAGGCGGAGACTCAACTTTGTGATAAATTAGGAAAAAATGATTCCGATACTGATGAGGAAGGAATTTTCGAGAATTCTAAAGAAGATGGAAAAAAGGAAGAAATTCACGAGGCGGAGACTCAACTTTGTGATAAATCAGGAAAAGATGATTCCGACACTAATGAGGAAGGAGTTTTCGAAGAACCTAAAGAAGAGGCAAAAAAATCGAATGAACTCGAGGCAAATACGGAAATTTGTGATAAATCAGGAAAAAATGATTCCGACACTGACGAGGAAGGAGTTTTCGAGGGTCTTCCGAACGAGAAATCTACGAAAAATCCAGAGACCACGACAGAAATTGAAAATTCGAGTACAGCAGAAACTCGAAATGAAAATGCGTCAAATTCAAAAATATCATTAGCAGACAATTCAAAGGAAACAAAAATTGAAAGTTCAAGTACAGGAGAAACTCGAAATGAAAATGCGACGAATCTCGATCATTCAAAAATATCATTAGCAGACAATTCAAAGGAAACGGAAATTGAAACTTCGAAATTGCAGACTTCAGTTTCAGGAGAAAAAGAAAACGAAAAAGAAAAGGAAAAAGAAAAGGATAAAGAAAAAGAAAAAGAAAAAGAAAAGGAAAAAGAAAACAAAAAAGAAAAAGAAAAGGAAAAAGAAGAGCAAATAGTTATAGATTCTAAAAAGGCAACTCCAACTTCGAAAAGAAGAAATAAAATTCAGCAATCAACTAGTGATTCGACCTCAGCGTCAACAGTTTCGAAAAAGAAAAAAAATATCTCTGAATCAAAAATCAATACGACGAATATTTCAGAAAATAAAACAAAGAATTCTGACGTTTCTGCAATGCCGGATGTTGCAGAACAAGAGAAATCTAAAAACACCAGTAACGAATCTGATTTTTCCGGATTCAGTCCAAGACGTTCTCGAAGATCCACCGTCATTCACGAAAAAGTCGAAAACTTTCTTAAAAAGTGTAAAACTAGTTCATCAAAATCGAAAACTAAGACCGAATTAAAATCACCGGATAATTCGGAGTCAAACGTAGAAACGTCAGAGAATGAAAATTCAAAAGTATACGAAAATTCCGACGCCGAAGTCGAAGGGATATTCAAGAATAAGAAAGATTCTAAAGAAACTAAGAAAGAGGCGAAACCAAAAAGAAATATTCAGAAAAATTCTCCGATTCCCTCGACGAGCAAACAATTGGAAATGGAAATTAAAAACGACATCGACATCGAAACTTTGAAAGGAAAACTCAAGAGAAAACTCGTTTCCCAGTCTTCGACACGTGAACAAAAAATTTCCAAAACAGTTGAGAAAGAGAAAACTCAAATAGCAAGTTCTAGAAAGTCTCTCAGACTTGACAAAAATATTAAGAAGGATAATGAATCGCTAGCGAAGGAAAAAATTCCGGAAAAATTAAAGAAATCCGATTCGGAAGAGAAAAAGAAGAAAACTTGGAAATTTATCCTACCGTTATCAGCCGATATTCCCCAAAATAATGAAACAAAAGAATCTTCCCCAACAGACTACGAAATGAATTCCCGATTGGCAAGTGTCGAAAATTTAGAATACGAAACATCGGCCACACAACCAATGGACGATATTGCAAAATCTCAAGAGAAGAAAATTTTGTCGTCCAGTCCAAAGAAAGAGAAATCGACAATTAAATCACCAACAAGAAAATCGTTGAGATTGATTGACACCATTGAAGAGAATCTAAACGAAATGTTCGAAGGCGCATCTGAGGAGATTGAGGAACCTCATCAGATGTTAACGCAACAATTGGAGAATATTTTGGAAGCAAGTCAATTCAATTGTGATCAACAACCATCAACATCACGTGGGAGAGAATCAACCGGACGATCACCTAAGGTTGGTAAATTTCATTTTAAATCTTTACAATTCGCTTCAAATGAAACTGAATCATTTGATGAGAGCGACGATGAATTTGTTCCATTTATGCCAAAGCGAGAGTATTTAAATTCAGTGATTAGTTCAAGTTTCAAGGGCCTTTCACATTTAGCGAGAACTTTAGCTTTAAAAAAACAGCTTTCTACTTCCTCGGAATTTACAGAGAGTCCAAATTCAAACTCGAAATCATTCCAAACAGATGAATTTCAAAAGAGAAAGTTGAAATCAATTGAAAATTTCTCCATTCCCGAGGAAGTGGAAAAGCAACAGTCAATTCTTGAAGATGATGATTCGGAGGATTCTGATTTTGAGGATCTTAAACGAATGGCAAATCGGGTTTTAGAAGTGAAAAGTGTCTATGTTAATAATAAGAGCGCGATAGAATTAAAAAAAGTACGCATATGTCTTGAGAGAGTAAATATTCATAGATCCTCTGATTTTCAGGTTAACGTTGTCGGCAATCATTCCCCGAGGATGTCCCAGTTGAATATTCAAGTTGAAAGGCCATTGAAAAAGCGCGCACTAAGAATAAGTGATAACGAAAAACACGAAGAAACAATAATTCAAGTGAAGAATAAACGCGCCAAGCAGGATGAGAATTCTCCCGACGGTATTGTGATTTCGAAAACAAAACTAAGATCCAAAGAGAATGTTAATTCGTCAACCGAACAAGTGACAACGAAAAAGGCGGAGGAAACTATAAAAGTCCCGGCAAATCCAAAAAGTAGAGCAATTTCGTCGAAACTCGAAGACTCTTCAAGTTCCATGACTGAAGATTCTCCAACTACGACGAAGAATTTAAAGGTCCCGCAAAATCCAAGGAGTCGAAGAACGAAGAGAACGAATTCGCCGAAAAATCAAATCATCAATTCCTCGGGTTCCATGGCTGAAGATTCGGAAGACAATTCGATTTCGAAAAAATCGGTTCCGATAAATTCGAGAAGTAAAAGAATCAAGAAAAATTCTCCAAAGATCGATGTTACCAATTCTTCAAGTTCAATACTCGAAGATTCGGACTCGACTTTAAAAGATGAGAAAAAAAATTCAAAACTACCCGTAAAGAGAACGAATTCAAGAAGAAAGGCTAATGAATCTTCAACGAACGATTCGGCGAATATTTCGAACCAAGCGAAAGAAACGATACCGAATCCGAGAATTTCTAGAAGAGGAAAAATTCCCACTACTTCACCTTCAACTTCTTTGATTGACGAAACAATGAAAACTGATCCGAATTCATCAGTCGCATCAAGCTCGAAAACAAATTTGGCAGACACTTCGACGAAGGAATTGGTAAAAGTGAATCCAAGAAGAGGAAGAGCTAAGAAAACGAGGAATGAGGAAGAAATGAACAATACCTCAATGTCGTCGAATTTAAATGAAACTTCTTCAACGACACTCGAGAAAACAATTATCACTGAACCAAAGAAAACTCGTGGGAGAAAAACAAAAACTCCTAATCAATCTGCTAATCAAGAAAATTTATCTGCGAGTTCAACGATTCTTTCATTGCCTGACAGCGATTTGAATTCTTCAACTGCTTCAACTCCGACCAGGGCAAAAAGATCCAGACAGAGTTCTCCTCTCAAGCATAAAGTGCTTTTTACTGGAATTCCCGTTAAGGACTATCAAAAACAATTGACAAAATTAGGTAATATTTTTATTTATTCTTATTATTGTTTCTGGACTTCTTGAAAATTTTATTTACTTCTATTATTACATTCTTGACAAAGTGAACGTCTCTTATTCATCAAGTTCGTTTGGCAAAGACTATATTTTTGACTTGCATTTGTAAATTTTTCAGGATTAAACGAGACAGATGATGTGAACAAATGTACGATTTTAGTTACTGATAAAGTGAGGAGAACTTTTAAATTCCTCTGCGCCGTATCTCGAGGGATTCCAATATTGTCTGTAAAGTGGATTACGGACAGTGCAAAGAAATCAAATATTCAAGACTTAGAAAATTATGTTATTAATGATCCGACCGCAGAAAGTAAATTTAACTTTAATTTGAAGGAGAGTTTGCAGAAGGCTAGAGATCGAAAGATGTTAGAAGGTTACACAGTTATACTTACGCCAAATATTAATGCTCCACCAGTAGCAGAACTGAAAGGTAATGAATTTAATTTGTTAATTAATTACTTATAAATACTTTAATGAATAATTTAAATATTTCAAAATTAATTGAATTTTAAAAAAGTTGCGTTTACCAATTTTCATAAATAGATGAACTTCAAAAGGTTTCACTTTAAAATTTTAGAAAATTTTAATTTTTAATTAATTTAATTAGAATAGTTTTTTGAAAAATTTTAAAAATTCAAATTCTTCGGAAATTAGTTAAATTTTTTAATATTATGTTTAATTAATTTTTAAAAATAATAGATTTATAGAAGAATTTTAGTTAAAAACAATAAAAAGAATTGAATTTTAGAAAAGTTACAAATTATTTCAGAAATTCAATTATTTTCAAAAATCATCGTCAATTCAATAATTTAAATATCTACTATTTTAGTAAAATTTTTCATGAGAATTCAATAATTATAAAAAAAATTTAATAAAATTCGACGCAAACATTTAATTATTTTCAAAAATAATAATAATTTCCCAGGAATTCAATTATTTAGAAAAATGTTAATAAAATCCTTCGCAAGAATTCAATTATTTTTGCAAATAAAAAAATCTTTCACAGGAATTTCAATTATTTAAAAAAAATTTACTGAAATCTTTCGCAAGAATTAAATTATTTTCATAAATAAAAAAAATATTTCATTGAAAATTCAATTCTTTTTCGCAATAATTCAATTATTATTTTCATAAATAATAAAATTCTTCTCAGGAATTCAATTATTTAAACAAATTTACTGAAATTCAATTCACGAATTTAATTCTTTTTATAAATAATAAAATTCTTCACAGAAATTCAATTATTTAGAAAAATTTACTGAAATTCGTTTCAAAAATTCAATAATTTTTATGCATAATAAAATTCTTTACAGGAATTCAATAATTTCAAAAATTTAAATAAAATTCGTGGAGACAATTCAATTAATTTCATTAATATTAAAACTCATCATTCGAGGAATTTTAATCAAATTCCTCAAAAAAAGCAATTATTCTTAAAATTTGTATTAAAATTGTTCAAAACAATTCAATTATTTTAATAAATTTTGATATAATTTGTTTATTATTATTATTTATTTATTATTTGTTTATTATTATTTCTAATTTTGAAAGAATTTTATTTTCAAAAATTTGAATTAAATTCTTCGTAACAATTTAATTATTTTTAAGAAATTTGGTAATTATTATTAAAGGTAATTATTATTATTAAAGCTTTTTCAAAAAGAATAAACCATTTATCTTCAAAATTGAGAAAAGTCCTTCTTCTGCATAATTACCAATTTCTTTTCAGGAATTCAATTATTTTGAACAATTTTAATAAAATTCGTTTCAAGAATTCAATTATTTTCCTAAATAAAAAAAAAATTTTCACAGAAATTCAATTATTTAAAAAAAATTTTACTGAAATTCATTTCGAGAATTCAATTATTTTCATAAATAAAAAAAAATTTTCATAGAAATTCAACTATTTAAAAAAAATTTTACTGAAATTCGTTGCAAGAATTCAATTATTTTCATAAATAATAAAATCACAGAAATTTAATTAGATATGTAAAAAAATGTAATATATAAAAATATATTTAAAAAAAATATTATATTTAAAATATTTTTAATCCGTTGGAAAAACAATAATCATTAAATATTTATTTGGAATTGAAGTTATTGATGTTTTCAAATAATTTTAATTTCTAACAAAAATTTTATTTCTTTTTGAAGAAATGGTGACGGCGAGTGGTGGGAAAGTGGTATTACGACCACCAGCAAAGTGGCTAAAGGACACTATCATTGTTTCAAATGATCAAGATAAGGAAAATGCTAATAAATTTATGGCAAAAGCTCCAAAAACAGTGTCGCTTCATTCCACAGAATTTTTATTGACTGGAATATTAAAGCAAGAAGTTGATTTAAAGAGTTACTTGCTAAAGTTTACGTAAAGTTTAATGTATATACATATATTTATCGTATCACTAAAAAATTCTCTATTTTTTTCTATTAAAATTATAAAATGTTCTTTAAATTACCTATAATAATTTTGTAATAAAGTTTTTTGTAAAAACTTACTGTAGATTAATTATTGTTTTTCCATTTCGACAAAAACCCTTAAAACCTTCGCGAGTAAGAAGTTTTAAGTGAATTTGTTTAAAAAGTAATTGTAATTGTTAGTATTTTTTGTTTCTTTATTTTAATTAAAAAATGGTTTTTTAAATTAAAAATAATAAAAAAAATAATTACTGAAATGATGAAAAGGAAGTTTTTTCAAATAAAACATAAGGGTGCTTAAGTTCAGTTCACAATGAAATTGGCGCGAAATTTAAATTTAAAAATTGTGCAAAAACCGGATGTGGAAGCATAATTAAAAATATATATAATCTAATAAGAAAACAATAAATATAAATGTACTAAAAATATCAGTAAATTAATTAATATTTATAATGTTTAATAAAAAAGTCAATTTCAAATAAAGGAAACAAAAATTGTGAATATTGATTAACAAAAACGTCCGACAGAGAGCGCTAGCGATAGTTTATGGCGGGAATTAAGGAAATGGAAAAAAACACCGGAAATTCAAGGTTTTAGTGTGAGTTTTGCTCGGCCGGCGGTTGCGCGTGGTTTCTAAATTTGGTGCGTCGCCACCACGAAGATGGCGGATGCAGAGCATCGAACAAAGGAGGATTCAACGTCGGCGTCTAAAGAAACGATGGTGAAAGAAGAAAAACGTGAGAACAGTTTAACAAATGGTGGCAAGGGTTCGGGGGACGATGCAGACAGTCTCGAGGAATTGCCATTAGATATTGGAGAGCATTATTTAGTACGAAGATCCGATGATTCTTGGCGTAAGTAAATCTTCATTTTGAGTGTGTAAGCCATTTTCATTTTGTATTCGTTCTTTCGATGTCTTGCTTTTTACCCCCCTCCCTCCCACCTCGGTAATATTCGACCGGTTCCGGTGCCGATCGTCATTTCCACGCGGTACGCCTGACCTATCAATTTCTTTTCTTACAAATTTCACTTTGTTTACTATAAAAAACATGTACAAACAAGTTAAATAGAGGAATTTTCAAAAAAAAAAATTTAATTTCTCTCTTGTATTCCACTCACGAAACTGGAAGTTATTTGAAAAAAGACAATTATACGAATTACGCAATACTTCCATAAATGACATAATTTGCGTATTTTTTTCGCTATTTTTATCAAAACAAATTTATTATATTTTTTTTTCAAAATTTCAACTACTTTAAAATTTAAATTCGCTAATAGTTGAAGTAAAATAATTAAATTATTTATTAGTAAATATTCTTCATAGAAACAATTTAACATTATTTACAAGAATTCAATTATTTTCACAAATAATGAAATTCTTCGATGAAATTCAAATATTTTCAAAATCTACAATTTTAATAAAATTTCTCAAAAGAATTTAATTATTTAAAAATAAATTATACCTAATAATTTTTAACAAAAAAAATTTTGAAAAAAAATCAATTTAAAATATTTACATAAAATCCTGTGGAAGAAATTAATTATTTTCTAAAATTTTAATAACATTTGTTTATATGCATTAAATAATTTTCATAAATAATTAAATTATTCCATGTAATTGAATAATTTTTTTAAATTTTCATAAAATTTTTTAAACAAATTCAATTATTTACAAAAAATTTTAATAAAATCATTCGCAAAATTAAATTATTTTTACAAATAAAAAACTTTTTCACAGAAATTCAATTATTTCAAAAAAATTCGTTGCAAGAGTTCAATTATTTACATAAATGATAAAATTCTTCACAGAAATTCAATTATTTAAAAAAATTAACTGAAATTCTTTGCAAGAATTCAATTATTTTAATATAAATAATAAAATTCTTCACAGAAATTCAATTATTTAAAATTAATTAATGAAATTTGTTGCAAGAATTCAATTATTTTTATAAATAATAAAATTCTTCACAGAAATTCAGTTATTTAAAAAAATTTACTAAAATTCTTTGCAAGAATTTAATTATTTTAATATAAATAATAAATTTTTTCACAGAAATACCTACAATTATTAACGAAGATTTTAATAAAATTCTTTAAACAAATTCAATTATTTACAAAAATTTTAATAAAAGCCATTGCAAGAATTCCAATTATTCTAATAAACAATAAAATTCTTCACAGAAACACAATTATGTAAACAAATTTACTGAAATTCAATTCACGAATTCAATTCTTTTTATAAATAATAAAATAATTCTTCATAGTAATTCAATTATTTTCATAAATAATAAAATTCTCTAAACAAACTCAATTATTTACAAAAATTTTAATAAAATCCTTTGCAAGAATTTAATTATTTTCATAAATTTATTACTTAATTTCAGTTTGCACCTGGAGATTTATTTTTTTTTAATTCCAATTATTTCCGGTTAATTTTCGAAAATTCAAATATCTGAAAATTTAATTTGAATTGTATTTTTAAAAATTTCAGATCCTGCCGAAATTATTCAAACCCGTTATAATGAAGGGGAAAGTCATTATGAATATTACGTTCACTATGAAGGTTACAACAGACGATTGGATGAATGGGTTCCTAGAGATAGAATTATGTCCAGTAGATTTGACATGAGCGATCGTTCATGGAAAAATAGCGATAGAAATCCAGCGACTGATTTACTAGCAGATTCTACAGATCGAAAAATTACGAGAAATCAAAAAAGAAGACACGATGAAATTAATCATATACAAAAGGTTAACATTTCTTTTATTTTAATATTCTACTTATAATTTCCAACTTTTTAATCTTTATATATTTTCGAATCTTTTAGTCTAGATATTTTCAAATTTTTTAATCTTTTTTAATCTATACAAATATTCGAACCTTTTAATCTATATAAATTTTCGAACCTTTAAATTTATGTATATTTTTTTCTTTCCTGTAATAATTGACGAAATTAAAAATATTGTTTATTGTTTTTTTCTTTTGCTTTAGACTTATGCAGAAATGGATCCAACTACTGCGGCACTGGAAAAAGAACACGAGGCCATCACCAAAGTTAAATATATCGATAAAATACAAATAGGTAAGAGTTTATTTCCGTTTTGTTTTCTTGATAACGTAATTGCATTTTATGAAAGAACCTCACGATTCTTAAAAGTGGCCTTTTAGGTAAATATGAAATTGACACCTGGTACTTCAGTCCTTATCCGGAAGAATATGGCAAGCAACCAAAACTTTGGATTTGCGAATACTGCCTCAAGTATATGCGCTTGGAAAAGACCTACCGTTATCATATGGTAAGTTTTTTTAATTTCTATTGCTAGTAATTAATAAATTTAATATTTAAATAATGAATAAATGTAATATTTTAAATAATTAATAACTTTGATATTTTAGTATAATCATCAACTTTGATTATTACAGAGCGAATGTATACACAGACAGCCAGTTGGAAAAGAAATTTACCGCAAAGGAACACTGAGTATTTGGGAAGTGGACGGAAGAGAGCACAAGATTTATTGTCAAAATTTGTGTCTACTCGCAAAATTATTTTTGGATCACAAAACATTGTACTTTGACGTGGAACCATTTCTTTTCTACATATTGTGTGAAGTCGATAAACACGGAGCACATATTGTCGGATACTTTTCCAAAGAGAAAGAATCACCGGACGGCAATAATGTCGCTTGCATTTTAACTCTGCCACCATTTCAACGTCAGGGCTATGGAAAATTATTAATTGCCTTCAGTTATGAATTGAGTAGAATTGAACAAGCCGTTGGCAGTCCCGAGAAACCATTGAGCGATTTAGGAAAACTCTCTTATCGAAGCTATTGGAGTTGGATTCTATTGGAGATTCTCCGTGATTTTAGAGGAACACTCAGCATTAAAGATTTAAGGTGAAAAAAAAATTGTCAATTATTTAAAAATTAGCAAATTCTTTAAAAAATTTGTTTTTAACGAAATTTCCTAGTGGCTGAAATCTGAAAAAAATACCAAAATTGTAGCACAACGTAAAAAAAAATAGTAAATAATAGGTTTTGATAGACGAGTGCGAAGCCTGGGATTTTCGGGAATAAAATCATTTCAATTTAATAAAATTGAATTATTTCTTAAATTCTCTGTCTTTTCGTTACTTGAAGAAATTTTGTTTTTTTACAGTCACATGACGAGCATATCGCAAACGGACATAATATCAACACTTCAAAGTATGAATATGGTGAAATATTGGAAAGGACAGCATGTTATTTGTGTAACGCCGAAACTCGTGGAGGAACACATGAGGAGTAGTCAATACAAAAGGCCAAGATTGACAGTTGACAGTAGTGCTTTACGGTGGGGAGCGCCATTGCGAAAAAATATTAAACCAGGAAAAAAATAGCGTGAAAATCAAAACCAGGATTTTTATTCTCAAATTTACAAATTAAGCGTGCCTAGCGGACGAATATCTTTGGCCAGATAATCGTGAGAAAATCTCAAAAATCCATTAGTGCTCGCTTTAATCAATTTTTCGCTGTCTCTCTTCGTGCCCGGTGAAAAGAAAAAGAAAATCATCTCTTTCGGACGAAAAAAAAAAGAAAAATTCTTGAAAGAATTTCAAACAGCGTTTTACGTGCGAGGCTTTGTTTTCCTTTTTTTGATCTTTCAATAGAACAAAAATTTCCACAAACGCTTCTTTTAAAGTCACGTATTATAAATATCTGTGCTTTGTGAACATTGTTTAATTCACAGATTCTCAATTTATTTTTCTCTATTGACTAAACTTCTGCGAATCATTTAATTTCCGACCAAAAATGAAAAATAAAAAACCAGTTGTAAAATCACGCGCGATTATTGCGCATCGCTCGTGGTAAAATTTACAGATGGACGACTTTCTCACCCAGTATTACTGCGCAGTAGTGATTTTCTTGTATAAATTCAGAGTGAAACATGTTTTTTTTTGTCAATAAAAAAAATGTCTGTCTTTTAGAAAGTTTTGTAATTTTCATTTTTATCGAAAGCAATGAATAGATTTTTTTTCTTACTTTTCAATTAAAGTCGAGAGGAGGACAGTCGATGAATTTCTTTTGCAAGTTCAACGGCATATTTTGACGTTCCTGGAGCTGTGGAAATGCCATAACCACCGTGACCGTAATTATGGACCACCTGCAAAATTTAAAAGTAAAAATAGAAGAAAATTTTTATAAAAAAAGAGAGGAAAATTAAACGTGGAAAAAAAGATCATTACTAACATTACTAACATTTTCAAAAAATTTAAAAAAACTCATCAAAAAAATTTAATTTAATTTTTTAATTAAAAAATAAGGGAATTTTACAAAAAAAAATACTGGAAAATAAATTCTCGTACCATTTTTGAAACGAGACCATTAGAAATGCGTTCCAATTCAACACGAACGTGACCCTCGCGATGGGGTCTCAATCCCGTGAGATGTCGTAGAACTTGAGCTTTCGACAGTGATGGAAGTAATTTTAAGCATCTTTCTCGAATTGCTGCCGCATCGTGAGGACAAACTTCACGATTAACTGATTCGAATGATCGAATTCCACCCAGAGTGCAAATACCATTGAATCCTGGAATGATGTAAGTATCATTCTCTCCGTAAAAGAAAGTCTTTATCCATGGAGCTTTCACCTTGAAAATTTTAAATAAAAATTAATAATAATTAGTGGAAATAATAAAAAATTTAAATTCAATAATTTAATCATTAATTAATTAATTAATTATTAGTAATAATTATGTATATAATTAATTTACTTTTGTAACTTGACCCCGAATTGGAACCATGTGTCTATCGTTGCAAAGTTCACGAGCTCCGAGTCCTGAGCAATTTATTATCAAATCATAATCAAATAAATCTTTCAGCGATTTTACTGTTTTTTCAATCGTAGTAACTCCATTTGAATTTAATCTGAATAAAAAAAAATACTAAGTACAATTTTCTCTCACTCAATAATTATAAACTTTCGATAAATTAAAGTCGATTTCGGATTTTTGGAAAAAAAATTTATTTTTAAAAATATTTGATAAAAAAAAAATTCGCGATAAATTGAATTTTATTCTTTGAGATTCAATTTATCGAGAGTCGACTGTATTTAAAAAAAACTCATAGTAACTTACAAATTTTTTATTTCTAAATATCAACTTCAATTCTCGAATAATTTTATATTATACAAATTTTTAAAAAATCAAATAACAAATTAACGAATTATTATTATTTATATTCAAAAATTTTAATAAAATTCTTCCCAAAAATTCAATTAATTTTCATAAATAATAAAATTTATTGCAAAAATTCAATTTATTTTTATAAATAATAAAATTCTTCGCAAAAATTTTTATAAATAATAGAATATTCTTCGTAGAAATTCAATAACTTTTAAAAAGTTTGATATTTGTTTACAAAAATTCAATTATTTTCAATTAAATTTCTGGAAAAAACTCAAGTATTTAAAACATTTTTAATAAAATTCTTGACAAGAATTCAATTATTTTCATAAATTAAGAAAATTCTTCGGATGAAATCAATTTTTTCAAATACTTTCAATAAAAATCATCGGAAAAATTCAATTATTTTTATAAACTTTAATAAAATTATTCCCAAAAAATTAATTAATTAGATTTTTGTAAACAATAAAATTCTTCGCAAGAATTCAATTATTTTTAACACAAATTTAATTCTTAAATTTTTCAAAAGATTTCTAGTATTTTCAAAAATTTCAATAAAATTTTTCCCAGAAATTTAATTATTCTCATAAATAATAATAAAATTTTTCTGATAAATTCAATTATTTTTAATATAATTTTATTAAAATTTTCCACAGAATTTCAATTACTTTCATAAATATAATAGAATTCTTCATAGATCATTTAAAAAAAATTTCCTTAAATTTCAATAATTATTTTCAAAATTTTTTAAATAAATTTATGCAAATATGTAATAATTTCCGATACGAAATTATAAAAAATTCCAAAAAGTAATATAGAAATTAGTATTAATAGTATTAACATTGTAATATTGAACTAAGAATATTAAAATTTTCAAAAAAAAAAAATAAATACTTTTGTTTTGCCCATGGAAGATGAATGTTGGTTTGATTAAGAATCGTTGTAAAATATGATCCATATTTCCAATTTCCTCCAACAATTTGGAATTCCTCAGGAGTCACTTTCCTATAAATTGGAACTAGATTCTCCATCCATTGATTCTTAATTTCACATTTATATGAAGTTGAGATTGTTTTGATTTGAATCATATGAAAATTAGATCGAATCATTGAATTAGAACAATTTACAATTAAATTAATATATATCTATAAATTAATTAAATTCCGTATCTATTTAAAAAATATCTTTAAAAAAAAGAATATTTCCTTAAATGCCCACCTTTACAGCATTTGGAGAAGAGTTTGCAAATATATAGCCAGAGACATTTGTAATACCGGCTAAAGCAGCTTCGTCCGATTTTCTAATTTCATCATAATATTCATAGGAATCTTTCACCCATTTCCTGAAATGTAAAAAATGGAATTATTTCTATTTTAAAATAACAATCAATTGGTTAATTAATTTTATAATATAAATTAAATTAAATTTATAATTTTATAAAATTTTATTTTATAATATAAATTATTTTTAATTATTTGTAATTTTATTTTACACTATAAATAAAATAAAATTATCTACTTGATAATATTACATAAAACATAATTAAATTCGTCGAATCAAACTAAATGAAATTAATATAAAAATAAAATTTATCCGCTTGCACGTGATTTTTAATATTATCAGTGAATTACCAAGTTATCTCGTCAGTGGGTCCAGAGAATGATGTTCCAACTCGGAAAATACCAGCAGCAACATGACTTGTCGTATCTTCAAAACTACTAGCGAAAATTGTAATTTTTGAATCTCTAAATTCATTCTGTAAATTAAGAGCCGTTGATAAGCCAGCAATTCCACCGCCGACAATCGCGACTTTCATTTCTAATTCAATTTCAACTATTTATTGTCACAATATGAAATGAAACGCATCAAATGATTCATACTCACAGTATAATAACAATAATATCCAGATGCGCGCGATTTTCAAATAATTAAAGATAAGATAAATCGTAGAGTACAACATTATTTTTTCAATTATTTATTTCTACTTATATGCAAATTTTTTTTACCTGTTAATAAATTTCATTCCTATTTTCTCACTTTCCTTTTCTAATAATAGTAAAAATATGTTTGCTATTTTAGAAAATATTTTTAATACTAATTTTGATTTGATAGTTAATTAATAATAATAATAGTTCATTTAATTATAAATAAAAAGAATATATTAATTGGTAATAATAAATATATTTTCTAAAATAGTAAAAATATTTTCCAAAATATCAACAATAAATTTTTCAAATAGTAAAAATATTTTCCAAAATATCAAAAATAAATTTTTCGAATAGTAAAATTATTTTCTAAAAAAAAAACAAAAACTAACTAAAAGTTTACATCATTAAATAAAATCGTTTCTAAAACGAAACTACCAGGAAATAAATGCAACTATTCTTTTATAATATTCTGATTGTTTATTTACATCTCACTGTAAAAAGATGAATCCTTTCAATAGTTCTCATCACGAATAAATAATACTAATTTCTTAAAATATAACAATAGTTTACCTTCATAATCAATGAATTATGAGCAATAAATAAAAAAAAAAAAAAAACTTCTTTCGAATACAGAAATTAAGCGCGCTCATGTCAACGAAACACTTAGAGACGAATTTTTATTTCTTTTATGTACACTTGCGCCTCTATGTAAAAATAATATTGCTTTTAAACTTATTAGATTTATCCCTAAAATACTTGACACTCAAAATGTAACAGAAAAAGAAAAATTTGTTTTTTAAATAAAAAATAATGAAAAATTTCCACGAAGCTTTAAATTTACAATCATCTCTCCAAAATGGAAAACGAATTTCTTTTTTAATTGCACGAAAATCGTTTGCTTTAATTCTAAAATTAGTAATTTAAATGTGACTTTAAATGTAAATATAAATTTAAATGTGAATTTAAATAAAATGTAAATTTAAATTTTGAATAAAAATTTAAATTAAGACAAAAAATACAAAATTTTCAAATTTATTAAACAATTAATGTATGAATTTAAAAATTATGTTATTTTTTCCATTTCTAAAAAGTGAGTAAGAACTTTTCCGATTCATTTCTATTTTTCATTTCTTGTAAATTTTTTCAGCTTCATTGAAATTTTCGTATAAAAAAAGAAAAAAAAATTACCTCAACATAAATTGCGTATGTTTAAGATTTATTTAGAGAATTTTCTTTGCACAAGTATCGACTATATTTTTTTAATGAGCAAAGAAATTTGAGTATTTGAAAAAAAACACGTAAATAATAATTAGTCTAGTGTTTTAAAGTAACTCATCTTCACACTCTCCTGCTTTAAAACAAAAATACAAAAACTTAAAGAGCTAAAAAATATTAATACAATTTTCTCGATTTTATAAATATTAATATTATAATTATTAATAATACATTTATATTAATTTGTACAAAAAATCTGGTAACTAGCAAGTTTTTAGCAATAAAATCCAGTAAAGAGAAATGAAAATGTAAAAAAGAATCGAGTAAAAAAATTTAGTTGAAAAGTTTCTGTAAAAAGGATAAGAATGGTAAAAAAATAATGCTTGTAAACGAAAATAAAACTTGCCGTTAAAAAAGAAAATTGTGTTAATGGAAATTTGTTTTCTATTTAAATTTACGGGTGCAATTTTAATTTCAATTATATATAATTGTAATTTCGATTCATTTATATATAATTGAAGTTAATATTTAATTTTATATAATCGAAATTCCGTGTTCAATTTTACATAATCGAAATTATATTTCTATTCAATTTTATAATTGAAATTCGATTCGATTTTATATAATTAAAATTATATAGTCGATTCTAAAGAATTGAAATTATATATTCAATTTTATAGAATTGAACATATGCATTCAATTTTTAGAATTGAAATTAAAAAACTACATTTCGTCGGAGAGAGTGAGAGATCGTTACCAAGATTCACTGTGTTTTTTCATTTTCTTTTTTTTTTGGCGAACGTAATATTTCTGAAAACTACGTGAACACTATTGATAAACGATGGGACCCGGAGAAAGGTCGAAATACCCGCGAAAGCGTGTCATTTTCTTATATTACTTTGTAATATTACTTTTTTGTCTATGTACAAAAAAAAGGCTGTTTTCTTTTATCCACCTGAACGAGTGTTGTCAAAATATGAGTTCAACTCAAGGCTTTACTGCAAGGCTGAATTGTATAATTAAGAGGAGGTGGTGGTACCAGTAGTGGCAATGGCGTTGGCGGTGGTGGCGGTTGAGCAGGTGGAGGCAGTGGATTTGACGTGACAGTTTTCAGAGCTGCATTGTAAGCGGCAAGATAGCTCGGCCACATGTGAGGAGGCGGCGGGGAACCAGGAGGCGGTGGCGGTGGTGAACGATCGTCCGCCTCATCCGAATCCTCCAACATCAATGCAGTCAATGGCGTTATACGTGGTTTCTTCAGTTTTATTATTTTCACCTTTAGAAAAAAGAAAACAGTTTTAATTCACTATTTTTAAATTCACTTTTTGTAAAATAAATAAAAATTCAAAAAAGAGGAATACAAAGCGGAAATTTAAAAAAAAATTAGGAAGCAAAGAAAGCAAAGATAATCAACCAACTAGAAAGTGAATACAAAGATTATTAACAGAAAGATTATTTTGATAAAAAAAGGAAAGAGAGAATATTTACCTTAACCTTCTTCTTCGTTTTCGATGATTTAACCCGTTTCTGCTTCCTCCTGCTCTTTCTGTATCGTGACTTTCTGATGAGTTCGAGTACACTTTCTTTGGAGATTGCCACTTGCGTTGGAGGTGGTGGAGATGGCATTTCACCCTCACCACCACTTGGACTAGTACCCTCGCCAGGCCTTATTCCATCAGCGAATTGAACATTTTTCTTCGTACGCTGAATTCTTCGTGATTTCTTCTTCTTCACTCGCATATTTACCTTCTCATCGTCATTATCTTTATTCTCTTCACGATTTATGTTTTTCATTTCTTCGTCATCCTCCTCCTCTTCGGGTTTCTCTTCGCTCTCATCTTCGGAAGCATCCGCATCACCGTTCGATAATCCACTGTTAAAAGAAATAAATGTCAAAGTGCTTCTTTTTTGGTACTTTTCCCCTTAATATTAAAATAAATAAAAAAAATCCAATACTCCAGGCCTCGCACTCAATAATTAATTTTAAAGAAAGTGTCAAACAGAAGCTTTAAGAGTAAAAAAAGTAGTAAAAAAAGTAGCTATCGAAAAATTAAATTTTACGACTAAAAAACACGTTTTAAATTAACAAAAATTACAAAATAAAAATTTGATTCTGTATTTCTCTAAATTCTATAAAAAAAATATTCACTTTTCTTCTTAACCTAGTAATAACTTGAATTTTAAATTTTTATGAAATTCAATTATTTTACAAACTTTTAGTTAGAATTCTTCAAAAATTCGATTATATTTCAAAATAACTTTTAAAAGTAAAAATATAAATTTTTTTAAAATATAAAATTTCAATTACATTTGAAAAAACTTCCAGTTAATTGGAAATTTAAATTAATATTTTTTTATTTTTGGGCTCTTGAAAAACAGTTTACTTATTTCATATACTCTACCCTTTGGTAAAAAATCTAAAATTATCAAAAATTCGAAAAAATTCAAAAATTTAATTTTCTTAAAATTCAACATTTTTTCTTCTCTTTTATGGCATTTGGCTTTATTATTTTTGTGCTCTTGAAAAATACTTTACTTATTCAATAGTCTTCACTTTTTGGTAAAAAATTTAAAATTACCAAAAATTCGAAAAAATTCAAAAAACCGATTTTCTTAAAATTCAACATTTTTTCTTCTCTTTTGTGGCTTTTGGCTTTATTATTTTTGTGCTCTTGAAAAATACTTTACTTATTTAATAGTCTCCACTTTTTGGTAAAAAATCTAAAATTATCAAAAATTCAAAAATCCAATTTTCTTAAAATTCAACATTTTTTCTTCTCTTTTATAGCATTTTGCTTTATTATTTTTGTGCTCTCGAAAAATACTTTACTTATTCAATAGTCTCGACTCTTTGGTAAAAAATCTAAAATTATCAAAAATTCAAAAATCCAATTTTCTTAAAATTCAACATTTTTTCTTCTCTTTTATAGCATTTTGCTTTATTATTTTTGTGCTCTTGAAAAATACTTGACTTATTAAATTGTCTCGACTCTTTGGTAAAAAATCTAAAATTATCAAAAATTCAAAAATCCAATTTTCTTAGAATTCAACATTTTTTTTTCTCTTTTATGGCATTTGGCTTTATTATTTTTGTGCTCTTGAAAAATACTTTACTTATTTAATAGTCTCAACTTTTTGGTAAAAAATTTAAAATTACCAAAAATTCGAAAAAATTCAAAAAACCGATTTTCTTAAAATTCAACATTTTTTCTTCTCTTTTGTGGCATTTGGCTTTATTATTTTTGTGCTCTTGAAAAATACTTTACTTATTTAATAGTCTCCACTTTTTGGTAAAAAATCTAAAATTATCAAAAATTCGAAAAAATTCAAAAATTTAATTTTCTTAAAATTCAACATTTTTTCTTCTCTTTTATGGCATTTGGCTTTATTATTTTTGTGCTCTTGAAAAATACTTTACTTATTCAATAGTCTTCACTTTTTGGTAAAAAATCTAAAATTATCGAAAATTAGCAAAAATTCAAAAATCCAATTTTCTTAAAACTCAACATTTTTTTTTCTCTTTTATGGCATTTGGCTTTATTATTTTTGTGCGCTTAAAAAATACTTTACTTATTTAATAGTCTCCACTTTTTGGTAAAAAATCTAAAATTATCTAAAATTCGAAAAAATTCAAAAATCCAATTTTCTTAAAATTCAACATTTTTTATTCTTTTTTGTGGCATTTGGCTTTATTATTTTTGTGCTCTTGAAAAATACTTTACTCATTTAATAGTCTCCACTTTTTGGTAAAAAATCTAAAATTCGAAAAAATTAAAAAATCCAATTTTCTTCAAATTCAACATATTTTCTTCTCTTTTATGGCATTTTGCTTTATTATTTTTGTGCTCTTGAAAAATACTTGACTTATTTAATAGTCTTCACTTTTTGGTAAACAATCTAAAATTATCGAAAATTAGCAAAAATTCAAAAATCCAATTTTCTTAAAATTCAACATTTTTTTTTCTCTTTTATGGCATTTGGCTTTATTATTTTTGTGCTCTTGAAAAATACTTTACTTATTTAATAGTCTTCACTTTTTGGTAAAAAATCTAAAATTATCAAAAATTCGAAAAAATTCAAAAATCCAATTTTCTTAAAATTCAACATTTTTTCTTCTCTTTTGTGGCATTAGGCTTTATTATTTTTGTGCTCTTGAAAAATACTTTACTTATTTAATAGTCTCAACTTTTTGGTAAAAAATTTAAAATTACCAAAAATTCGAAAAAATTCAAAAAACCGATTTTCTTAAAATTCAACATTTTTTCTTCTCTTTTGTGGCATTTGGCTTTATTATTTTTGTGCTCTTGAAAAATACTTTACTTATTTAATAGTCTCAACTTTTTGGTAAAAAATCTAAAATTAGAAAAAATTCAAAAATCCAATTTCCTTAAAATTTAACATTTCTTCTTCTCTTTTATGGCATTGGCTTTATTATTTTTGTGCTCTTGAAAAATACTTTACTTATTTAATAGTCTTCACTTTTTGGTAAAAAATCTAAAATTATCAAAAATTCGAAAAAATTCAAAAATCCAATTTTCTTAAAATTCAACATTTTTTATTCTTTTTTGTGGCATTTGGCTTTATTATTTTTGTGCTCTTGAAAAATACTTTACTCATTTAATAGTCTCCACTTTTTGGTAAAAAATCTAAAATTATCAAAAATTCAAAAATCCAATTTTCTTAAAATTCAACATTTTTTCTTCTCTTTTATAGCATTTTGCTTTATTATTTTTGTGCTCTCGAAAAATACTTTACTTATTCAATAGTCTCGACTCTTTGGTAAAAAATCTAAAATTATCAAAAATTCAAAAATCCAATTTTCTTAAAATTTAACATTTTTTCTTCTCTTTTATAGCATTGGCTTTATTATTTTTGTGCTCTTGAAAAATACTTTACTTATTTAATAGTCTTCACTTTTTGGTAAAAAATCTAAAATTATCAAAAATTCGAAAAAATTCAAAAATCCAATTTTCTTAAAATTCAACATTTTTTATTCTTTTTTGTGGCATTTGGCTTTATTATTTTTGTGCTCTTGAAAAATACTTTACTCATTTAATAGTCTCCACTTTTTGGTAAAAAATCTAAAATTCGAAAAAATTAAAAAATCCAATTTTCTTAAAATTCAACATATTTTCTTCTCTTTTATGGCATTTTGCTTTATTATTTTTGTGCTCTTGAAAAATACTTGACTTATTTAATAGTCTTCACTTTTTGGTAAACAATCTAAAATTATCGAAAATTAGCAAAAATTCAAAAATCCAATTTTCTTAAAATTCAACATTTTTTTTTCTCTTTTATGGCATTTGGCTTTATTATTTTTCTGCTCTTGAAAAATACTTTACTTATTTAATAGTCTCCACTTTTTGGTAAAAAATCTAAAATTATCAAAAATTCAAAAATCCAATTTTCTTAAAATTCAACATTTTTTCTTCTCTTTTATAGCATTTTGCTTTATTATTTTTGTGCTCTCGAAAAATACTTTACTTATTCAATAGTCTCGACTCTTTGGTAAAAAATCTAAAATTATCAAAAATTCAAAAATCCAATTTTCTTAAAATTCAACATTTTTTCTTCTCTTTTATAGCATTTTGCTTTATTATTTTTGTGCTCTTGAAAAATACTTTACTTATTTAATAGTCTCCACTTTTTGGTAAAAAATCTAAAATTCGAAAAAATTCAAAAATCCAATTTTCTTAAAATTCAACATTTTTTCTTCTCTTTTATAGCATTTTGCTTTATTATTTTTGTGCTCTTGAAAAATACTTGACTTATTTAATAGTCTTCACTTTTTGGTAAAAAATCTAAAATTCGAAAAAATTCAAAAAAATTCAAAAATCCAATTTTCTTAAAATTCAACATTTTTTCTTCTCTTTTGTGGCATTTGGCTTTATTATTTTTGTGCTCTTGAAAAATACTTTACTTATTTAATAGTCTCAAATTTTTGGTAAAAAATCTAAAATTAGAAAAAATTCAAAAATCCAATTTTCTTAAAATTCAATATTTTTTCTTCTCTTTTATGGCATTTGGCTTTATTATTTTTGTGCTCTTGAAAAATACTTTACTTATTTAATAGTCTTCACTTTTTGGTAAAAAATCTAAAATTATCAAAAATTCGAAAAAATTCAAAAATCCAATTTTCTTACAATTCAACATTTTTTCTTCTCTTTTATGGCATTTGGCTTTATTATTTTTGTGCTCTTGAAAAATACTTTACTTATTTAATAGTCTTCACTTTTTGGTAAAAAATCTAAAATTATCAAAAATTCGAAAAAATTCAAAAATCCAATTTTCTTAAAATTCAACATTTTTTCTTCTCTTTTATGGCATTTTGCTTTATTATTTTTGTGCTCTTGAAAAATACTTTACTTATTTAATAGTCTCAACTTTTTGGTAAAAAGTCTAAAATTATCGAAAATTATCAAAAATTTGAATAACCGAATTTCTTAGAATTCAACATTTTTTCTTTTTGCATTTAGCTTCATTATTCAGGGTGGTGAGTTTTTTAAAATTTAAATTCCCGGTCATTTTCCAGTTTTTCTTTGTCAATTTTATAAAATTTCCCGGTCATTTCCCGGATTCCCGGTCAGCTCGCCAATTAATTTTTACTTCAAATTAACTACATACATTCAAAAAATTAAAATTTTTCAAAAGACTAATTTTTTAAATAATTTTTTAACTATTTGTCCGAATGTTTTTGTTTCATTCTCCTTTACTATAATTTTTTAAATTAAATTATTCATACTTGAATATTTTTTGTCCAAAAAATACATAAATAATTACTTATTTTTCCACAGGAATTAAAATTTTTGATAATTTTAATGTAAAGGTTTTTAAAATTTACCTATTTATAAAAATTCTTACTAATAACGCATTTAATATTAAATAATAATCTTAAATTTTAAATAAAATTCTTTTTTTAATTAATTCTTATTAGAAAATTTTACAAGAATTGAAGTATTTAAATCCAAAAATAAATAATTGATGGAATGAATGATTATCTCTTAGAATTGAATACTTATAAATTATGTTATCGAAATTATGTAAATAATTGATTTTTTTCTAATAATTTTAATAAAATTTTTGAAAATAATTTCATTTTTCGAGAAATTTATTTAAAATTGCATTAAAAATAATTGAATTACTGTGAAGAATTTTATTATTTATGAAAATAATTGAATTCTTGCTAAGGATTTTATTACAATTTTTTTAAATTTTTGTGTAGTATTTTATTAATTTTTTTCATAAGTAATTGAATTCTTTTCAGAAATTTTATTAAAATTGTAGATTTGGAAAATATTTGAATTTCAGCTAAGGATTTCATTCATTTTATTATTTGTGAAAATAATTGAATTCTTGTAAAAAATTTCTGAATTGTTTCTAAGAAGAATATTTATTAATAATTAATTAATAATTACTTTACTTCAACTATTAGCGAATTTAAATTTTAAAGTAGTTCAAATTTTGCAAAAAGAATAGAAAAAAGTAGCTTTTAGTGTCACAAAATTAAAAAATGTATCCAAACAGTAGCTAATGGTAAAAAAAATAGTAAATAGTAGGTTTTAATAGATGAATGCAAAGCCTGATACTCAAAAAAATGAATATTAAAATAAATACTTTTCTATTATTACACAAAAAAAGTATTCCGCTACGCTTTGAACTGCGGACAGAATGAATATTAAACTCACCCGAAACCGGGACAGACGAGAATTCCTTTCAATGGCGCCGGAGGTAAGGATGGCCATTCTCTGGCATCGACTTCCGGTTGGACGGCCTCCTCAGATTCGGCGGCAGTGGCAACGTCGTCCGATTGTGCCAGTCGACTAGATTGTTTATCTTCGTCTTCCTCCTCCTCTTCTTCATCCTCCTCGTCGCCTTCCTCTTCCTCCTCTTCCTCGTGTTCGTCTTCCTCTTCGGCTTCTTCCTCTTCTTCGCCCTCGTTCGCTGCTTTTTCCACATTTGCAATCGCACTCTCATTCTTTTCCTCCCCTTCCTCCTTGTCCTCCTTCTCCTCCTTCAAATTTTCCTTTGTACATTCTGCTTTTTCCGTTTTCTCATCCTCTAGCGATGCCAAAACATCAGACACTGTCACCTCTTCAGTAGGTTGATTCTTTTTCAATTGTTCTAATTTCTTCAACTCGGAATCATTATTACATTTCGAGAGGAGTTTTCTTCCTAAAATTTTATCAGCTCGTCTCTTGGCACGTTCCATTTTTCTTCGCTCCTTCTCTCTCTTGCGTTCCTCGCGAACTCGTTTACGTTCCTCCTTCTCTCGTCGACGCACCTCGAGAATTGCTTCATAATCGTAAACCGCCATTGCTGGTACTTTAGCAAAATAAAAAATAATTAAAAAATTTATTTTCATCAATTAATAATAATTAAATCAATAATTATAATTATTAATTGTAATTCTTTTTTAAATAATTAATTGTAATAATAATTATATAATTATTGTTTAATTATGAACAAGATAAAATAGAAAAAAATGAAAATTACCTTGTGGTGCTGCGGGTTTAGTTTTTGGTGGTGTTGTGATATTCGCGGGAATTGGTAATGGAACGGGAAGACTCAGGGGATTTGTAAGTGGCAGAGTGACGGGTCCAGTAGTTACGGCGGTAATGAGACCTTGGGGATTAACAGCAACAGGACCGGGTACGGGAAGTGGAACTGGAATTGGCACAGAAATGGGAGTATTAACGGGTGAGGGAGGAATAATAACCGGATATCTCGTTGTATTTTTACGATCGATTGAAGATTGAGGATTATTACTCCAATCAATTGTTGTTGTAGGCACGACCTGCAGTACATTGCCAACTCGAACAACTTTACTCGCACCCGCTGGCGAAGTCACAGGCACTTCATTTCTCATCGCTCCCGATGTTGACATTCCCGCAAAATCTCCAGGTACCACTTGCAAAACATTGCCAACCTAAAAGAAAATTATTCAATGAAAAAAATTATTAGAATCATTATATAATAAGAAAACGTTATTTATAAATCCATATTAATAAAATCAGACCTTTGCCCTGTACATTCTTAGAAATTAATTGGTTGACAAAAAACTAATTTTGTTTTTCCCTAACTTTTCCTTATTTTCAGACAAGATTTTAACTTTTTCTCTAAAGAATATTCTGACTCATTCTAGAAATTATTATATACTCAAAAAAATGTTATATTGCAAAATCAAAAATTTCAAATTCAACATCTTATAAGAATATTCTATTATAAAACATGAAGACATCGATTTTTTAGAGAAATGCGATTTAAATTGTATTAAAAATAATTATTAAATTCTAAAAAAGAAATTATATCCAAATTATTTAAAATAGGACAATTAAATTTTTTTTGAGGAATTTTAATAACATTTTTAGGAATAATTCACTTGTTTCGAGGAATTTGATTAAAATTGTATTAAAAATAATTGAAATTCTGCGATGAGATTAATTATTTATGAACATAATTGGATTCTTGCAACAAATTTTATTAAAATTTTTCAAAATAATTTCTGAGGAGAAATTTATTAATTATAAAAATAAATGAATTCTTGCAAAGAACTTTAATAATTCTTTTTTAAATAATTGAATTCTTTTGGTTAATTTTATTAAAATATAAGAAATTATAAATAATTTAACTGTTATGAAGAATTTCATTCAAATTTTTGAAAATAAAATTCTTTCAGAAATTTAATTAAAAATGTATTGAAAAAAATTATTAAATTCTAATAGACAAATTTATATCAATATTTATTAAAATAATTGAATTTTTTTGAAGAATTTTAATAAAATTTTTAAGAATAATTGCATTTTTTGAGAAACTCATTTAAAATTATATTACAAATACTTGAAATTCTAAGATGAGTTTTATTATTTATTAAAATAATTGAATTTCTAACAATTTTATTATTTATAATAAAAATAATTGAATCCCTGTAAAAATTTTTAATATTTATGAAAATAATTGAATTTTGCAAACAATGAAAAATTTAGATTTTCAAAGATTAAAATTTAAAACCTTTTCAAAATTCAATTATTTCTAAAAATTAGGTTTTTTAAGCTGGCTCCACAACTTTGCGAAGAAATTTATAAAAAATTTGATTCAATGTTTTGAACATTCGAGGAGTTGAAAAAAAGTACAAAAAAATTAATTTTACCTGCAAGACTGTAGGTGGCTGATGAAAACCTCTTTGATGCTGAATCGAAGGGGAATACGTATTACAATTGAAATTTCCAGGATTGTAATCTCCAGAAGGTGTTGGTTTCTTTATTCCCAATTCCAATTCAAGTCTGTATTTAAATTCGAAAATATTAGAAATTTATTTAATGAAATAATCACAACATAAGCCTACAGATTTCGCACTCGTTAATAAATAGGAGAAAAAGCAAAAAATAGTATTTACAAAATATTACAGAAGATGAGTGCAAAGCCTGATTATAAAATAAATTGGAAGGAAAATGGAATACGTTACACAGAAGGAAGTTTCTTGACGAAGTCTGGAGAGAGGATGAGGGTTTTTTTTTTTTTTTTTTGGAAAAGAGAGCGTTTAAAAAATAAATGTTTTCATTGATTACCTTTCGTCAAGAGACAGACGCTTTGGAGACGATGGTGTTTCGTCGATACGCGGAGGATAAGTGAGATTATTCCTAGAAAAGTAATTATACTCGTTACCAGTTTCAGTTTCATTGGGATAACGAAAGTGTGAACTATTCATATTGTCAACACTTTCATTGGCAATTCTTTCCGATTCCATTTGAGTGGGGTCAGTCGCGGAATCGTTGCCACCAGTTAACTGTATTATTGTCTCCATGCGCCTGTCTCTATCGGGACAAGATATCGTCGATTCCAAAGGCTTTAGCCTGACATCGTCCTCCCTTAACCTTTCCATATGAACACGTCTTCCTCTCTCCGGTGTCAACGATCTATTATTTCGGAAAATTTTTCATCAAAATTATCATTTTTATATATTTTAAAAAATTACATTTGAAAAAAACGCTTATCAAACAACAAATATAATTATAATAATAATAATAATAATAATAATAATAACAATAAATAGGAAATAATAATAATAATAATCCAAATTATATCGTACAATTTACGAGCTTTTCGTCTTTTCTCAATCAAATTACGGACTTTACGGACCTTATTTTTAAAAAACTGACTTTTACGGACTTCAAGCAAATTTACGGACCTACTTCGAGCCCTCTAATAATAATAATAATAATAATAATGATTATGATCCAGACCATCAGTAAAAAATTATATTATCCGAGGCCTGAAATAATTAATACTACATACCTCGATCTTGACAAAGATCTAGGACGACGATCCGGACTTCTCAGTCTCGCCCTTGATCGTGACAGAGAACGAGATCTACTTCTGGATCTTGTCAAAGATCTCGATCTTGATCTCGTTTTGGACCAAGAGCGAGAGCGTGAGCGCGAACGAGAACGAGAGCGTGATCTTGATCGTGAATCGTATCTAGACAATCGTGCCGGCGATCTTCGTCGTAATGGCGAACGCCTCATTGGGAATTTGTCACCCCTACGTGGATTTAATCCCAAATCAGGTGACAAACGATTCTTCTCCCATCCTCGATCTCTCCTCTCGATACTTCTCGCTCTACTTCTGTAATAACAACAATCACAACAAAATTTAAATACCTCTCTTACTTCAAAAAAAATTTTACCAAATAAATATAGTTTATAATGATTAGAAAAAAAAAAGATTTAGAATTAAGAATTAAAATTACAAAATTAGAGGGAAGAAACAGGGAAAAAAAATAAAAAAAAGTCAAGAATTTTGAAAAAATATATACCTGCATGCCTTAATAGCTATTGGACTTGACATAGGATCATCGAGATTTCTGTCTAAACTTCGATTTTTAATGAAGGATTTCTCTTCGTAATCTAATGCACAATTTTTTCTACTTTTATAAGAGTCTAATGATTCTTCGTCATCTCTTCGACAATTATCATCACCAAATCGCCAATAAGATTTTTGAGATTCGTCTTCATTTCGAAACCTTAAATAGACATGATTCTAAATACTGTACCTTTATTATTTCACAGAAAAAAGAAAATAAATTCGCTCGAAAAAAAAAATTTTTTTTTTCCTACAATCATACCTGTTATTTCGTAGTCTTTCTGGATCTAAACTTTTTTCTCGCAAAATTTCCATTGGATCGTAAGGTTTTTCCCTCTCGCGTTCCATACTATCCTCGTATCTTCTCTTTGGCCGATCGCGCTCACTTCTCAGTGGTGATAATCTTTGTAGAGGTCGTTTCCGATTTTCTGTAAAATGACAGAAAGGTTTTATTTAAATTCAAAGAATTGGAATACTAAAGAAAATTATTTTAATTCTCTTCTTGTGATATGTGATATTCAAAAGGAATTTTCGCAATAACTATAATACATTTTTTACAATAACAGTTTAAAAAATTGTGTTTTTTTATACAAATTCTGTACCAGAAAATCAGTTTTTTCAAGAAAAAAAATTCAATTGTTTTTAATTAACAGAATTTTAGAAGATTTCAATTATTTCAAAAATTTGCCATAACTAATTTATAAATATTATACAACGATTATTAATATAGATTATTATTATTAAATTAAATTATTAAATAAATAAAAGAAATTATATTACCTTTATACTTAGGTGGACTTCGATTTCCCCTGTCTCGACGATCGCTTGTGAATTTGTTACTCTTTGAAAATCGATCATCTTCAAACTTCTTGTCCCTGTCTCTGCTGTCATCCCTTCTTCTTGGACTTGGACTGAAACTTCGAGTTCGACTACGATCCTTACTTCGACTGCGACTTCTCTCATTTTCCCAAGGACTTCCGCCTCTAATCGTCCTTCCTCGATTACACAGTGGACTCGTCGCTCGTCGTTTAGCATCGTGCACTGGTTTCGTACCTCGTTCCTTATCACTTCGACTCTTCTCCTTATCTTTAGTATCACTATAGTGCCCTCTACTTTTAGCTCGATCGTCACCTTCTCTCTTATCACGATCCTTTCTAGGACTTCTTTTTTTCTCCTTAACCGGTGACTTTGATCGTTGAGAATCCGAATCTTTGTCCCGTTTACTCGACACTTTATCACGTGGTTCACTCTTTCCCTCAACTTTCTCAGATTTTACAGTTACTTTCTTCTCTGCTTTTTGATTTTCAATTTTTTCGTTCTCTTTGGCGCTTTTTCCTTCTTCTTGTGCTTTGGAATTTTCCTCATAATCGGAAGGATTTTCAAAAACTTGTTTTAAATTTGAATCGAGATTTGCTGAGGAATCGATTGGTCGACGTATGAGAAGTGGTTTTGACACAAGTTTCAGGGAAATTTTACTCTCGACGATATTTTCCTCCTTTGGAGTATTAACCAATGGAACTTGTTCATCGACTGATGATTCTTTATCGCTTGTTTCGTTAAGTTCAGTTTCCAAAATTCCCGGATGTAAATCAATTATATCCTCATTCTCAGGATTTAGACTATCCAATTGTAAATCATTATATTTGTCCGGATCGTCGTATTTCTTTTCCTCGAGGCGAACTTTTATTTCCTCCTTCAAAAGTGTGGGAGTTATTAAAGATTTAGCTAGTACATCGGTTGGCAAAGGAATGTTACAAAGTGGACCTTTCACAAATCCAGGTAATTCCCCTTTTTCCTTCTGCTTCTCGCCTTCGCTCGAAATCTGTAATTCGAGAAATTTTTGAATAAAATTTAAAGAATTTTTAAATTGAATTATTTAATGCTTCAATGATTTTGTAACATTATTTAAAATAATTATTATTAATTGTTTTTTCGTAAGAATTATAAAATTTTCAAAAATTACAATTTCAAATCTTTCGAAATTTAATTATTTCTAAAAATTACAACTGTAATAATACCAAAATTAATTAATTATTTTCAAAACGTTTTAACTAAAATTTTCTCTTTAACAATTATTTTCAGTACTTTTGAGAAAATTTGTTGAGAATTCATTTATTTATTTATTTATATAAAAGGAAAGTTCATTTAAAATAATAAAATAATTTTAAAGTAATTTAATTTAATTAAATTTAAAATGAATTAAAAATTAAAAAATTTTAATTTAATTAATAAAATTAAATTTAAAATAATTTAATAATTGAATCAACCAAATAGTACTGTAGAAAGAAATAAAAAAAATCTCACCTCGGATTTTTGCGAAAGAGCCGGAGAACTGGGACTGTAAAGACCAATATTTTTCGCCTCCTGATTTTGTAGTTCGACAATCGACTTGAGTTTTATAGTTGCTTCCGTCTCCGATTTCTCAGTCTCCTTCTTACAAACAATTCCCTCCTTCTCAAGATTACCTTCCGCGAGCCAATCGTCCGCCAATCCCATTTTCTGCAATTTCTTCTGAAACACATCCGGCGAATCTGTAATATGAAAATCCTCCAATTTTATTTTCTCCGGAAGATTCTCTAGAATGGGACTAATTTGTTCTTTGACTTTAGCCAAATGCAGTAGGGCTGATTCAGTACCAGAAGTCTTTTTCCAATCCGTACCCTCCTCCTCCCACATAACCGGCGTCATATTAATATCATCCTTATCCTCCACTTGATTTCCAACGTCCCATCGACTTTTCTTTCTCCTCCTATCGCCACTGTCATTCTTCTTTCCCCCCTCATTTTCAATATCAACACTCTTCTCACTCTTATTCTCGTCTTTCAAATTATTCTGCAGCAAATCGTCCGTATTTATTTCCACACTGCCAAATGAGTCACTCCTCGTGAATTCATTCTCAATGTCCCAATTTTGTATTTTTGATTTCTCTTCAATGAGGAACATTTCCTCCTCCCTGTCGCCTTCTTCTTGCTCCTCTTCCCAGATGCGAATTGCCGAGAGTCTCTCCTGTTTTTTCTTGTTATCCCGGGCAACTTCTCGTTCGACAGAAATGTACGTGTCCGTTTTCACGTCGTATTTCACCTTCTCATGGCGCATGGAACTTTTCTTTCGGGACTTTGCATCTCGAATTGATTCGAGACTATCGACTTCCCACTCGTCGGCTAGAATATCACGTTTTCTCGCCTCATCGAGATGAGAGAGTTGCGTCACATTCAAAGGCTCGGTGTCGATTAATTTCAAAACGTTGGTTATTCTTTGACTCTCCTTTTCCCATTCGGTGAGAATTTCAGTCTCTTTCTTTCCGATTTCTTCCGGTTTTTGTTTTTCATCTAGTGTCAAAATTTCTTCCACAACATTTTCTGGTAGAACAATCTCTTTCTTCTCTATTTCTTTTTTCTTCTCCTCCTCCTCTTCTTCTTCTTCTTCGTCGTCGTCGTTTTCTTTTGATTCTTTGACCTTTTCTTCCTTCTTCAAGGCCTCTTCTCGTTTTTTCGCCTCCTTTTCTTCTCGAATTCTTATTTCCTCGCGTTTCTTTAGTTTTCGTTCCTCTCGTTTCTTCGCGTCTCGTTTCTCCTTCTCATCGTCTTTTGCTATTATTTCCTTCTCGGAACTATCGTCGGAGGTTAATTCGTGCTCGAGACTGCCTTCAATTTGCCGTGTCATCAATATTGATTCCTTCTCCCATTCGGAGAGACGATCTTCACTCACTTCGCGCTTCTTCTTCTTTTGCTTTCGGGCCTGTTCCTGAATGAGATTTTGCTCCTTACCGGTGTCGCATTCCTTCAATAGAACACTGTTTGGCGAAAGTGCCTCGGCGAGAATTCTCTTCTCAAGATCGCTGGTTAGTTTTGTGCGTTTCGATTTTTCAATTCGGCGTTTTTTCTTACGTTTCAAATCGTTCTCGATTTTTTCAATATGAAGACGCTTGAGATTTTTGTCACTACTCAGTGATCTTGTGGATGATTTTCTCTTTCGTTTGCGTGACGTCTCCTCCTTGACTTCGGACAATTTTTTCTTTAATTTCTTCTTCTTGAGGCGTTTCTTCTTTTTTGCGTCGTCTGAATCGCTACTTGTCGAAGCGGCACGTTTTCTTGAGCGTTTCTTTTTCGCTTTCTTCAATGACTTCTTCACTCGCTTCTTTTTCTTCTTGATGCGCTTTCGTTTCTTTTTTCGTGTATCGTCCGAACTTGATGACTCACTCGAACTCGAATCACTACTGTCCGAATCGCTACTCGACTGTACGACTCTTTTCTTTCGACGTTTTTTCGTTTTCTCTTTCTCTTCGGAGTCTGAAGAACTTGATGAGGAACTCGATTCACTGCTGGTTGAATACGATCGTTGTTTTTGCTTTCGTTTCTTCTTTACTTTCTTTGTCTCAACATTCTCGTCACTTAATTGCTCAACTTTAATACGAACGTTTTCCCAATCACTGGGAATTGATCGCGAATCAGAATCTTGATCCTCTTTACAATTCTTCTTCTTATTAATTTTCTCCGAATATTCATGAATTTTGGTAACTTCGTCTCGTTCAATATTTTCCGTTTCTTCCTCCATTTTTTCACTCTCTGGTAATTTTCTTTCTTTATGAATTTTTTTCTCACCCTTCTCGATGGGATTTGAAATTTTTTCTCCCTTTTCGTTTGTAGCCAATGTTTTTATTTCCTTTTCGGAAATATTTTTACTTACAATTTTTTCATTCATTTTTTCATCGGTGGGAATTATTTCTTCATTGGAAATTTTCTCCTTTGCTTGTTGTAAATTTGTGGTTTCGTCAACAATTGACGATTGATCGATAAATTTACAATCTGCCGGTTTAACTAATTCTGAATCGAGATTAAATTCGTCGTAATTCGAAGGTGAAATTGTTGGTGTAATTTTTAATGATCTCGAGGGACTGTCATTAGATACCATTTTCATGAATTGTTCATATTCGGAGGCTAATTTTTCATTTCCTAGTGATTTTTCTGAATTTTGGGAAACATCCTTTTTTGTTTCGTTATTATCAACTTTGTCATTGTCGTCTTCAGTTTCATCTTCACTTTCATCGTCGCTATCGTCCTCATCGTCATCGTCTTCTTCGTCGTCATCGTCGTCGTCATCGCTGTCTTCTTCCTCTTGTTCCTCCTTATCAACTGACACTTTCTGAACTTCCTCTTTTTTATTCGCATTCTTTTCCTTTACCTCCTTATTATTTTTCTCTTCATTCACAGTTTCAGATGAATTCGGCACGGGTTTTGCGTCTGAAACAAAAAATTATTGAAATTGTTATTTCAAAATTCAATTATTTCTAAAAATTCACGTTATAATGCTTTTTCTATTCAATTATTATCTAAAATTATCAAAAATTCGAAAAAATTCAAAAATCCGAATTTCTTAAAATTCAACATTTTTTCCTCTCTTTTATGGGATTAAGCTTCATTATTTTTGTGCTTTTGGAAAATACTTTACTTATTTAATAGTCTCGAATCTTTGGTGAAAAAAACTGAAATTAACGAAAATTCGAAAAAATTTTCAAAAATCCATTTTTCCTAAAATTCAACACTTTTTCCTCTCTTTTATGAGATTTAGCTTCATTATTTTTGTGCTTTTGGAAAATACTTTACTTATTTAATAGTCTCGACTCTTTGGTGAAAAAAACTGAAATTAACGAAAATTCGAAAAATTTCAAAAATCCGTTTTTCTTAAAATTCAACACTTTTTCCTCTCTTTTATGGGATTTAGCTTCATTATTTTTGTGCTTTTGGAAAATACTTTACTTATTTAATAGTCTCGACTCTTTGGTAAAAAATCTAAAATTATCAAAAATTCGAAAAAATTCAAAAATCCGTTTTTCTTAAAATTCAACATTTTTTCTTCTCTTTTATGGGATTTAGCTTCATTATTTTTGTGCTTTTGGAAAATACTTTACTTATTAAATTGTCTCAACTCTTTGGTAAACATCTAAAATTATCAAAAATTCGAAAAAATTCAAAAATCCGATTTTCTTAAAATTCAACACTTTTTCCTCTCTTTTATGGGATTTAGCTTCATTATTTTTGTGCTTTTGGAAAATACTTTACTTATTTAATAGTCTCGACTCTTTGGTAAAAAATCTAAAATTATCAAAAATTCGAAAAAATTCAAAAATCCGATTTTCTTAAAATTCAACATTTTTTCTTCTCTTTTATGGGATTTAGCTTCATTATTTTTGTGCTTTCGGAAAATACTTTACTTATTTAATAGTCTCGACTCTTTGGTAAAAAATCTAAAATTATCAAAAATTCGAAAAAATTCAAAAATCCGATTTTCTTAAAATTCAACACTTTTTCCTCTCTTTTATGGGATTTAGCTTCATTATTTTTGTGCTTTTGGAAAATACTTTACTTATTTAATAGTCTCGACTCTTTGGTGAAAAAAACTGAAATTAACGAAAATTCGAAAAATTTCAAAAATCCGTTTTTCTTAAAATTCAACACTTTTTCCTCTCTTTTATAGGATTTAGCTTCATAATTATTGTGCTTTTGGAAAATACTTTACTTATTATATTGTCTCGACTCTTCGGTAAAAAATCTAAAATTATCAAAAATTCGAAAAAATTCAAAAATTCGATTTTCTTAAAATTCAACATTTTTTCCTCTCTTTTATGGGATTTAGCTTCATTATTTTTGTGCTTTTGGAAAATACTTTACTTATTATATTGTCTCGACTCTTCGGTAAAAAATCTAAAATTATCAAAAATTCAAAAAAATTCAAAAATTCGATTTTCTTAAAATTCAACATTCTTTCCTCTCTTTTATAGGATTTAGCTTCATTATTTTTGTGCTTTTGGAAAATACTTTACTTATTATATTGTCTCGACTCTTTGGTAAAAAATCTAAAATGATCAAAAATTCCAAAAAAATTCAAAAATCCGTTTTTCTTAAAATTCAACATTTTTTCTTCTCTTTTATGGGATTTAGCTTCATTATTTTTGTGCTTTTAAAAAATATTTTACTTATTAAATTGTCTCAACTCTTTGGTAAAAAATCTAAAATTATCAAAAATTCGAAAGAATTCAAAAATCCGAATTTCTTAAAATTCAACATTTTTTCCTCTCTTTTATGGGATTTAGCTTCATTATTTTTGTGCTTTTGGAAAATACTTTACTTATTAAATTGTCTCAACTCTTTGGTAAAAAATCTAAAATTATCAAAAATTCGAAAAAATTCAAAAATCCGATTTTCTTAAAATTCAACATTTTTTCTTCTCTTTTATGGGATTTAGCTTCATTATTTTTGTGCTTTTGGAAAATACTTTACTTATTATATTGTCTCGACTCTTCGGTAAAAAATCTAAAATTATCAAAAATTCGAAAAAATTCAAAAATTCGATTTTCTTAAAATTCAACATTTTTTCCTCTCTTTTATGGGATTTAGCTTCATTATTTTTGTGCTTTTGGAAAATACTTTACTTATTATATTGTCTCGACTCTTTGGTAAAAAATCTAAAATTATCAAAAATTTAAAAAAATTCAAAAATTCGATTTCCTTAAAATTCAACATTTTTTCCTCTCTTTTATGGGATTTAGCTTCATTATTTTTGTGCTTTTGGAAAATACTTTACTTATTATATTGTCTCGACTCTTTGGTAAAAAATCTAAAATGATCAAAAATTCCAAAAAAATTCAAAAATCCGATTTTCTTAAAATTCAACACTTTTTCCTCTCTTTTATGGGATTTAGCTTCATTATTTTTGTGCTTTTGGAAAATACTTTACTTATTTAATAGTCTCGACTCTCTGGTGAAAAAAACTGAAATTAACGAAAATTCGAAAAATTTCAAAAATCCGTTTTTCTTAAAATTCAACACTTTTTCCTCTCTTTTATGGGATTTAGCTTCATAATTTTTGTGCTTTTGGAAAATACTTTACTTATTATATTGTCTCGACTCTTCGGTAAAAAATCTAAAATTATCAAAAATTCGAAAAAATTCAAAAATTCGATTTTCTTAAAATTCAACATTTTTTCCTCTCTTTTATGGGATTTAGCTTCATTATTTTTGTGCTTTTGGAAAATACTTTACTTATTATATTGTCTCGACTCTTCGGTAAAAAATCTAAAATTATCAAAAATTCGAAAAAATTCAAAAATTCGATTTTCTTAAAATTCAACATTTTTTCCTCTCTTTTATGGGATTTAGCTTCATTATTTTTGTGCTTTTGGAAAATACTTTACTTATTATATTGTCTCGACTCTTCGGTAAAAAATCTAAAATGATCAAAAATTCCAAAAAAATTCAAAAATCCGATTTTCTTAAAATTCAACACTTTTTCCTCTCTTTTATGGGATTTAGCTTCATTATTTTTGTGCTTTTGGAAAATACTTTACTTATTATATTGTCTCGACTCTTCGGTAAAAAATCTAAAATTATCAAAAATTCGAAAAAATTCAAAAATTCGATTTTCTTAAAATTCAACATTTTTTCCTCTCTTTTATGGGATTTAGCTTCATTATTTTTGTGCTTTTGGAAAATACTTTACTTATTATATTGTCTCGACTCTTCGGTAAAAAATCTAAAATTATCAAAAATTCGAAAAAATTCAAAAATTCGATTTTCTTAAAATTCAACATTTTTTCCTCTCTTTTATGGGATTTAGCTTCATTATTTTTGTGCTTTTGGAAAATACTTTACTTATTATATTGTCTCGACTCTTCGGTAAAAAATCTAAAATGATCAAAAATTCCAAAAAAATTCAAAAATTCGATTTCCTTAAAATTCAACATTTTTTCCTCTCTTTTATGGGATTTAGCTTCATTATTTTTGTGCTTTTAAGAAATTCTTTACTTATTTAATAGTCTCGACTCTTTGGTGAAAAAAACTGAAATTAACGAAAATTCGAAAAATTTCAAAAATCCCTTTTTCTTAAAATTCAACACTTTTTCCTCTCTTTTATGGGATTTAGCTTCATAATTTTTGTGCTTTTGGAAAATACTTTACTTATTATATTGTCTCGACTCTTCGGTAAAAAATCTAAAATTATCAAAAATTCGAAAAAATTCAAAAATTCGATTTTCTTAAAATTCAACATTTTTTCCTCTCTTTTATGGGATTTAGCTTCATTATTTTTGTGCTTTTGGAAAATACTTTACTTATTATATTGTCTCGACTCTTCGGTAAAAAATCTAAAATTATCAAAAATTCAAAAAAATTCAAAAATTCGATTTTCTTAAAATTCAACATTTTTTCCTCTCTTTTATGGGATTTAGCTTCATTATTTTTGTGCTTTTGGAAAATACTTTACTTATTATATTGTCTCGACTCTTTGGTAAAAAATCTAAAATGATCAAAAATTCCAAAAAAATTCAAAAATCCGATTTTCTTAAAATTCAACACTTTTTCCTCTCTTTTATGGGATTTAGCTTCATTATTTTTGTGCTTTTGGAAAATACTTTACTTATTATATTGTCTCGACTCTTCGGTAAAAAATCTAAAATTATCAAAAATTCGAAAAAATTCAAAAATTCGATTTTCTTAAAATTCAACATTTTTTCCTCTCTTTTATGGGATTTAGCTTCATTATTTTTGTGCTTTTGGAAAATACTTTACTTATTATATTGTCTCGACTCTTCGGTAAAAAATCTAAAATTATCAAAAATTCAAAAAAATTCAAAAATTCGATTTTCTTAAAATTCAACATTTTTTCCTCTCTTTTATGGGATTTAGCTTCATTATTTTTGTGCTTTTGGAAAATACTTTACATATTTAATAGTCTCGACTGTTTGGTGAAAAAAACTGAAATTAACGAAAATTCGAAAAATTTCAAAAATCCGTTTTTCTTAAAATTCAACATTTTTTCCTCTCTTTTATGGGATTTAGCTTCATTATTTTTGTGCTTTTGGAAAATACTTTACTTATTAAATTGTCTCGAATCTTTGGTAAAAAATCTAAAATTATCAAAAATTCGAAAAAATTCAAAAATTCGATTTTCTTAAAATTCAACATTTTTTCCTCTCTTTTATGGGATTTAGCTTCATTATTTTTGTGCTTTTGGAAAATACTTTACTTATTATATTGTCTCGACTCTTCGGTAAAAAATCTAAAATTATCAAAAATTCGAAAAAATTCAAAAATTCGATTTTCTTAAAATTCAACATTTTTTCCTCTCTTTTATGGGATTTAGCTTCATTATTTTTGTGCTTTTGGAAAATACTTTACTTATTATATTGTCTCGACTCTTTGGTAAAAAATCTAAAATTATCAAAAATTTAAAAAAATTCAAAAAT